TTTAAGATACAGACTGGCTCAAGCCTTCTAAAGCCATTAGGCGTATTAGTTTCTGGGACATTCTGCTGATGGAAAAGGAAATCCACTTCTTGTAGACATAAATGTTGATCTTTTCTCCCTTTCTTCCATTTCTGATCTCCATTAGGAAAAGAACAGAGACAGTCTTGAGGGTGCTCTCCATCAACAATTCTATGTTAAGGAAGTGACAGAAGAAAGTCAAATCTGGTCTGGCCTCAGCCTAAGCCAGAATTATCCCTCCTTTGGACAAAGGCACCAGAGCACCCCAGTGGCACGGGCCAGTTTATGCCAGCAGAACTTTCCACCTTCTGAAAGCATGGAGGGTGAGAGGTGTATAAGAATAAGCTGGTTGCTGGAGAGACAGCAGGAAGATAATTTTCTTTATTTCATTGCATTGTTTCACTGATTGCAGTGAAAATCTTTGTTTTTAAAGAAACTAAGAAAATGATACCCAAAAATCAATTCTGAAAACTAGAAACAACCCAAATGTCCTTCTGATGAGGAAACTTAAGAGTTAAGAATTTTTAGCCCTGACCTGCATGTCTCAGTTGGTTGGACATCACCCCGCACAGCAAAAGGTTGCTGGTTCTGTTCCTGGTCAGGGCACAGTTGCAGGCCAGGTTCCTCTCTTTCTCCCTTCCTCCCCCTCGTTCTGAAATTCATTGCCCTTAAAAATAAAATAAACCCTATTTAGAAAATCACCTAACAACACGGTGGATAAAACAAAATAGCAACAAAATTTAAAATATTTCTATAATTTAAAAAATAGCCCTGGCTGATAAAGCTCAGTGGATTGAGTCCCAGTGAACTGAAGGGTTGCCAGTTCAATTCCCAGTCAGGGCACAGGCCTGGGCTACAGGCCAGGTCTCAGTGGGGGAACATGAGAGGCAACCACACATTGATGTTTCTCTCCCTCTCTCTAAAAATAAGTAAATAAAATCTTCTTTAAAAACTAAAGATTATAAAAATCTTCTCTTTAAAATGTGTGGGTTGCCCTGGCTGGTCTGGCTTTGTGGATTGAGTGCCAGCCTGTGAACTGAAGGGTCACTGGTTCAATTCCCAGTCAGGGCACATGTCTGGGCTACAGACCAGGTCCCCAGTTGGGGGCTTGTGAGAAGCAACTCAAAGACATTGATGTTCCTCTCCCTGTCTTTCTCCCTCCCTTCCCATTGCTCTAAAAATAAACAAATTTTTTAAAAAATTTGGCGGCCAAATAGACTCTGTGAGCTCAGATGTTACTTTCCTTCTCTGTGCTTTCCTTCCTTCTGAGCAATGAAGGACTAAAGTGTGGAAGCAATAGTGGGGGTTGCATTTCAGCACAGCCCCAGGCCAGCTGGGGGAGTCGGAGGGGCTCCAGCAAGCCCAGATAGATCACTGAGGCCTGGGAGTTGAGTGGTTAGGATGGTTAGGGAGGAGGCAGAAACCCAACAGTGTCTTAGAGCCCAGGAAAAGACCCCCTCAGGGGCTCCTCGCCCCAAAGACAGCCTTGTTTCCCGTGCCTGGTAGCAACTCCCAGCTGTATCACCTGCAAAAAGAGCACTCTGGGGAGATGGGGACGGAGCCTGCGAGGACTTAGACAAGGGAAAAGTGAGGCCTGATGGGTGGGAGGCCAGCAAAAGAGTCTGCTCTCCTGGAAGGTGGGTGGGTAAGGGGCAGCCGGGAACAGCACTGCCTGGGGACAGCCATCAGCCACTCCTCTTGTGCCGAGCTGAGTCTTGCTGATTTTACTCCCTAGAGATCTTTGGCCCTTCCACCCTCCTCTCCATTAAGTTGGGGATTTTCCAACTTAATAGGGAAAAGAGAATAAAAATTCAAATAGACCAGATATGGAACCTTGCCTATCCTTTATGTTATGTATCATCAAGCCAAAGATACTGTCTTTGATGATGACTGCTGTGACTGATTTGAACAGTTAGTGGTTTTTTAAAAATTAAAAGCAGTGCTCTGTTATTTGTGTGGACTATCCCTTATGCAGTTGGTAGATAATAGAAGCCTGAGAAGACCTGGCTTACAGGTAGAGTTCAGACTCCCGGCACAACGTTCGGGACCCACTGTGCTCCGACTCCAGCCCTGCTCCCCAGCCTCAGTTTTCAGCGCCAGCCCAAGTTTTACCTGTACCTTCACCTGTACAGCGCCTCGAAGTGCCATGCTTGCTTGTCCATCCTTGCCTTAGCCCTTCCCATCCCTGCCTCTTGTCTCTTCCCCACCTGAAGAACACTCACCCTTAGATTCGGCCAAAGCCTCTTTCTCTGCACAGTCTCTGCCTGCAGGGGAGTCCCTCCTTCCTTCCCGCACACTGCACACTGCACACTGCAGTGTATGCGTTTATGTAAACCTTGAATCCCTGCTACAGTCTACCCTCCAGCAGGGCGGGGACCACGTCTTTTACGTTCACCTTTGTCCAAGTGCTCCTCTCATGGTAAATACGTGATGAATTAAATCAGACCTTCTTAGATTTAAGGGAAAATATCAAATCAGTGATATTGCAGCGAAATAAATGTGCCAGTATTATGGAACGCCAACGGGATAGACTTAGTTCTCATTCTGATAAGGACAGTAAGCTTGAAGGAGAATGAGGAAACTAAGGTGTGTGTTTTCTCTCCTGGGATCTGTCCTTTGAGTGTGTGTATAAGACCCTATTGCCAGCTCCAACTCTGAGTGAGGTATGAAACGGTAAGCCATAAAGTAGAGGGTGTTATTTATAACCCTGTTTTCTTAACTATCTTTCCACTGCCAGCAAAATCAATCTTCTAAGAAATTGTTCTGTTGCATAGAGACCACTAATGAGCTCCCCCACCCATCAGCGTTGGTCTCCTGACAAAATGAGCGACTCCTGTCTTTCCCTCAAGCTCCTGCTACATTAAGCCACTGAAAAGGAACCAGCTTCCTCCTAAATTCCGCCAGCCACCCCGGGAATCGCTGGACACTAAGGAAAGGAGCTCTTAGCATGTGAACTCAGCATTTTTATATTAGATGAAATTTTTCCAAAAAAAGTGAATGCACCATTGATTCTATTTACGTAGCATTACCAAGGAAAGTATCATAGGTTTTATGGGGGTTTGAGGACAGGGGAACAACATCAAGTTGGTGGTTACCAGAAGGCTCAGCCCTGCCCCCATTCTTTCATTCTCAGGCCACCTGAGCAACTTTTTGTTTCTGGTGCACAAATAAGGCTGCTAGCCCTGTTTTCTTTGCCAAGTTCAAGGGTACTTTGGGACATAGCTTGTACTATTTGTTTAAAACAAACAAACAAACAAACAACAGAGGACTTCAGTGCTTGTAATAATCTATTCTGAGGCACAGATAATACTGGCCATAGCCAACGTCCAGGCCAACATGTTTTCCAATAGTGAATATTTTTAAAATATTAGACTTTAGTTCTGGTAACTCAGCAACTCAAAAGAAATATATATATATATATATATATATATATATATATATATATATATTTCAAAAGAAAAATATATATATGAAATATATATATATTTCAAAAGAAAAATATATATATATTTGATATATATATACTGAAAAAAGACAGAGATGGTATGACTTTGGGTATTGGACACACAGTGCAATATACAGATCTAGTATCAGAAATCTACACTTGAAACCTATATGATCTTATTAACTGGTGTTACCACCATAAATTTAATTTAAAAAAGAAGACATTATAAATAGTTTAAGCTTTCAAGTTCTTAATACCCATTATTAAGTTTTTTTCAGTTTAGAAGACAAGGTACCTGTAACAATAAACTAAGACAATAAACACATCTCATTCTTGATGGGGACAGACAGGGACATATTTTTACATTAGCTTGAACAGTGGGGAACAGGGAAAGATTGTTCTCTGCAAGTAGTCTGATTTCACAGAGGACCACAACAGACCCTTTATCTCAGTGAAATTAGCCAATCTAGTCTGTGATCTCCATGGTAGCAGTGTCAACAAAAACAAGCGAAAGGCAAAGAGTGAACAAGCTCAGGTTTCCTTGGCTGCCTCCTTTACCAGCACCCAATGTGCCTGCTGTACCTCGTTACTCAGTTCCCTCCGCGCAGACCCTGGCTTCGGACCCCAGGGCAGAGCGCAGGGCTGAATCTCTGCTCTCACTGTACAGGACCTTGGCTTTTCTTATGTCACGTGGTTTTGTGCCCAGTCATACAAGGGACAAAGTATACACCTCATCCAAAGCAGTGTTTTGAAAATATTTTGACCACAAGCCTCAGTAAGAAATTAATTTACGTTGTGACCCACTATACACATGCACAAGTGTGTGCATATACACTCTGAAAAGTTACGCAAAACAATGTCTACCCTAACTATGTATGGTAATTCTGATCATTTTTCTTCTATTTTATTTCATTTTTTTAAAATTAAGGTTAACACCTTTTAATGCTGGTTTTTGTCCACTAAATTAATTTCACAATCTATTAATGAATTCTGACCTGTAGGTTAAAGCACAATGTAGTTTAAAACACATCGTGAGACATGTAGCTGCATTTTGGAAGTTAATCAACTTGAAAAGTCTAAGAAACAAATACAGATTTCAGTAGCAATATCAAGAAGATTACATTTTCCTGCCACATACGAAATGCAAAGCGTTGAAAATGATTCTGAAGGACTGGTAGGTATCTGAGTCACGACAGTTGGAACGCAGATAAACACGGGGCAGAGTCTGTGAAGGAGCCCAAATGAAGAGCGAAGGGACTCACCAGAGCTCAGCCGACCTGCCAGCGGCCACGGAGACTGTTACACCAACTCTGCGGTGCCCCCTCGTTTTCCTGTTACTGAAAGAAATCATTAAAAGACTCTTGGGGTTGAGAAGCACCTTAAATGTCAAACTCTATTTTCTTCTGCCAGATGACAAAAGTTAGCATTTCCTTTGAAAATCTGAGCACTGACTTTGTTTCTGTCCAAGAGTTCACTTCAATTAGAAGAAGGGTGAAAAAAAGACTCACGAAATCATTGTTCAACTTACTCTTTTTTAAAAAACAATTACTAGAATTTTATTAGCCAAGGGAGAGCAAGGGCAAGAGAGATAACGAACAAAAAATACATCTTAAGAATCATTAAGTACACCATATATTTACAATTAAGTATATTTTAGAAGACCACTGTCCATCAGTTCATGAAATGTACCAACTTACATCATAGGCCCACGTGTCAACTAAATTAATGTCCACTGTCCTTTGGCTCAGGAGACTGTCCTTTGCATCTGACCTTGGTCTCTGTAATGGCATCAGAAACGATGCTGTTTGGTGGCTTAAGGTTAACACGGCTCTGGAGGCAGGTGCTTTTCTTCAAGGAAACTTCTACTTGGCTACACAGCTCTGCACACCTGCCCTCATCCACCTTCAGCGACATTCATGCCACCAACAACCAAACCGAAGACAGCGCCAAGGCTCATGAAGCTGGTGAGGGGAACACACCCCGGTCTAGTTAGGAATGGGTTCTGCGGCCTCTCTCCCCTGGCAGAGAGTCTGTCACCTGGCACTTGTGGGGTCCTCCGGGATTTCCGACAATTCCCACAGACTATAAATTCAGAACGTGCTTTCGAGCAGGCAGTGACACCCACACCCGGTGGGACACACCTCCTGGGTCCGAAACCACTCCATCATGTGGCTTGTATGTCCCCCATGCCCGCAGGTCAGGCAGAAATTGGACGATCCTCGAACTGCCACGTGGCAGATGGCGCACTGGAATGTGAAGCCTTTGCAGATGGTGCACTGCGTGCCGCGAACCTCGCTCCGGCAGTGGCTGCAGTACACGCCAAACTCTGGAAACAGTTGGGGACGGCCAAAACAAGAGACATCGTGAGTTTAGTTCTGCAGAAGCAAACCGGGCCCTGTGAGCTAAGGAAGATGAACACATCTTAGGACTCTGTAGTATCCTATTAGGCCAATGATTTTCAATTTTCTTTTTTTAACCAGCGGAACACCTTCTTTTACAGCCTCAGTAAATGTTTTACAGAGGAGCTGCTGTCACGGGATGGCAGGGTGTGGGCAGCGGGCGCGGCAGGTGCCTGGCCCTCACAGATCCCGGTCAAACCCCCCAGTGCCTGCAGCGTCTCATTCCGCTTCCCACCTCAACGGCCGCAGGGGCCTGCCGCATAGAAGGCGATGAACAAATGTGTGTGCAGAGAACTGAAGGACTCAGTAAACACTCAGATGAGAGCTAATTGGTCTTCCAGTCTCTTCCCTACCTGCCTGCCAAAAGACCAAGCAGCAGGGCAGGACACCTCAGTGCCCTGCCCACCGCTGGGGAGGATGTCAGGGCCAGTCTGCTGGGACTGGCCCTCAGCCTCCTGGAAGAGACCCTGAGGGCTGATCCCACCCCCCGCCAGCACAGCCTGCCAGGCGGCCCATGTCCACTTTCCGCCTCCCCCTGCTCAGCTCCCTGCTGCCCTGGGGACCCTTTCTCCACCCCTATCCCAGCCCTCCACTGCGCTACCTCTAGTGCAAACGTTCCCGTGTGCCCTACATACTCTTCTCTGGGGGAGCAGGGGCAGGAGGGGTGGGCGCTGTGTCCCATTACTGTCTCCATCCTGTCACTTTTCCTCTTGAGGCTAATGCCACCTGGCTTCACCAGCTTTTCCTCTTTTTCTCAGCTGTCATTCCAAGTCTTATGTTATGGATAAGTTAAATTATAGAAGCTTTCAGATAATGACAGAAAAAGAAAAAAAATGCATAGTCACCGATGCCTTTGTGGGGATCGGGGGGACAGGAAACAAACTTCAGCACTTCGGCTCGCTTCTCCCTGAGACCCCAGCGATAGAGGATTTCTCCATAGCATTTCTTAAAGTCATCAAATTGCTGGGTATTGGCGGGGTCCAGAAGCCTGGATAAAATTCAAAAGAATTCCTGTCAGTTCCTTCAAGAAGAAACAAGCTCAATACCAAACGGCCCTTTATATACCTTTTAAAATGCAAGAGTCCTGATTTGGGAGAACCTAAGCACTATGAAATGACAGCTCTCACCTGCAAAGGCCGTTACCTTTTATTTCTGTCATGCTGGTCACGTTCTCGCTCACGGGGCTCATTGTAGGTCAGACTCCCAAAGCGGATCTCTTCTGGCGAAGACTCTCCCCAAGGTGAAGATATATGTTCTATCTCTCTCCCTGCTAAAGAAAATCAAATGGGAAGGGAAAATGAAAGTCAGAGAAGGCATGAAAAATACCTAAAAACTCTCATAAAGCAGTGCAGGTCGTTCATTCCTCAGAAGAAAAATAAGCCAAGTTTAAGATGCTGAGAAATATAACTAAACAGAACCCTTTCCTAGCCTAACCTTGTTGTGTAGGTATTTATTATTAAGATAACCTGATAATTAAGTACACACATAATAATTAAGCAAATTATGGTACAGTGATATAGCTGCCTATCAGTCATTATTTATAAAGACATTTTTCATATTTAATTTTTATTGTATTTTTTCTATTACCTTTTAGTCCCCGTATACCCCTCTACCCCCAGCAATCACCACGCTGTTGTCCATGAGTCCTTTCTCCTCAATCCCTCCACCAACCGCCCCCCGCCGCACCCCGCTGTCCGCCTGCTCTCCATCTATGCGTCTGTCCCCATTTTCCTTGTTCAGTTTGTTCATTAGATTTCACATATGAGTGAAATAATGTGGTACTTTTCTTTCCCTGGCTGGTTTTTTCACTTAGCATAATGTTCTCCAGGTCCATCCATACTGTTGCAAAGTTCAATTTTCTTCTTCTTTTTTTTTTTTTTCCAGCTGAATAGCATTCTATTGTGTAAATGTCCCATAGTTGTTTTATCCACTCATCTACTGATGGGCACTTAGGCTGCTTAGTGAAAGAGCTGCTTTCTATTAAGCTCTTACCATCTTGGTGATTGTAAATAATGTGGCTATGAACACGCGGATGCTCATGTTCCTTCGAACTAGTGTTTTCGGTTCCTTCTGGGAATATATCCTAAGCTCGTGGGTCAATATATCCTATATAGCTGGGTCAAAAGGCAGATCCACTTCTAATTTTTTTCAAGTATCGTCATTCTGCTGCCCACAGTGGCTGCACCGGTCTGCGTCCCCTCCAACGGTACAAAAGGGTTCCCCTTTCTCCACATCCTCACCAGCATTTATTGTTTGCTGATTTATTGATGACAGCCATTCCGACAGGTGTGAGATGATATCTCATTGTGGTTTTAATTTGCATTTATTTCTCTGATTAGTGACATTGGGCAACTTTTCATATTTCTTTTGGCCATCTGCATGTCCTCTTAAGTGTCTATTCAGGTCCTTTGCCCATTTTTTAATTGGGTTGTTTGTTTTTTTGGTGTTGAGTTTAAGCTCTTTACACAGTTTGGATATTAAACCCTTATCAGATGTATGTGAATATGCTCTTCCATTCTGCGGGTTGTCTTCTTATTTTGCTGATGACTTCCTTTGCTGTGCAAAAACTTTTTAGTTTGATATGGTCCCATTTGTTTATTTTTTTCTTGCTTCTCTTGCCTGAGGAGATATATCTGATAAAATATTGCTACAAGCAATGTCCAAGATTTTGCTGCCCAAGTTTTCTTCTATGATTTTTACAGTTCTGGGTCTAACATTTAAGTCTTTGATCCATTTTGAATTTATTCTTGTGTGTGGCGTAAGAAGGTGGTCTAGTTTCATTTTTCTACACATATCTGTCCAATTTTCCCAACACCACTTATTGAATAAACTATCTTTAGCCCATTGTACGTGCATGCTTCCTCTGTCAAATATTACTTGACAATAAAGGTGTGGGTTTATTTCTGGGCTTTCTATTCTGTTCCACTGATCTGTGTGTCTGTTTTTACACCAGGACCATGCTGTTTTGATTACTATGGCCTTATAGTTAGTTTGATATTAAACAGTGTGATTCCTCCAACTTTGTTCTTCTTTCTCAGGATTACGCAAATTATGGTATAGTGATATAGTAGCATATTAGGCAGTCATTGTTTATGAAGACGTTTTAAGTGACATGAGAAAATGTTCATGATAAAATTAAAAACAGAACACAAAATCACCTATACAGAATGAGCCCTCCTCCACCCCACATACACAACGACTGGAAGAAAATGTTCAGGAATGTTAACAGATGTTATTTCTAGGTCGAGCAATGAATAATGACCATTTTCTTCTCTAATACTTTCTGCTGTGTTTTTTCTTCACTGTGTATGCATTACTTTTAAAATCAGAAAAATGAAGATCATCTTTAAAAAAATTTTTTTGTAATCCAGAAAATACAAATACTCATTAAATAGATCTTTATGGTCAGCTGGCATCAGACTCTGCTTCACTTCTCAGCGATGAAAGAGATACAGAATACAGAGTGGCAGGTGACCACAGCAGGGGCACATGTGCTGGAAGAAGGATGGGGTTAGGATTTCGGGGTGAACACTGGAAAGTCTCACTGTCAGTTTCTCAAAGTCATTGGGATGTAAAACAACCAAAAAGGCAGAAAGACCTTCCAGAAACTGGCCTGTTTAAACATGAAAGTCCAGGCCTTGCTGACTACAGTATTGCCATCCTACTAAATGTAAAGAAAAATGACAAAGAAACAATCAAACAAACAAAAAAGGAGACTATTCATTAACTAAAGATTACGTATTATTAACAATTCACATGCAGCTTTTCGAGAACTAAACATCCGGCGTGGGCTAAGTCGGTTCCATACCAACCTATATTCCATCCACCAGTGTTGAGCCCTGGGTCTGACATGCTTGAGCAGGAACCAGAGGAGGTGAAGCTGGGCTACGAGCAAACAGGAGCAGCATCAGAATACCATTCCCCATGGCAGTTTACTTTTAGGGAAAGTCAGACACAAACCAGAAAACTACAAGCTTACATATCGACTATGGGAAACCACGAGATTAGATGAACGGCTGGGAAAAGGCCCCAAAGGGTTTGGTATTCCCTGAGGCCGAGACTGGGCTTCAAACACACTGCAGAGCATGGCCAATGTCTGCACATCCCGGAGCTGGCAGTAATGAGCCAACCTGGAAAAAAAGGTGAGAGGAGAGAAATCAAGTCAAGAGAGGAGATGGAGGAAGGATACTATCACCACCATGGCGGGTTGTTGTCTTAGGAGGAGAGAAGAGAAGATGCTTAATTCTTCCTCCAAACCCCCTGTCAGCTACCAGGGCTTTCTATACATCTGGAGGCTTGGTCTACTTTGAGTCTGGCTAAATTTGCTTTGGAATAGAATATATCAAAGTATTACAAATGACCCGGAAAACTAATCCGAAAGCTTCTGGTTGGCATCAGGCATGGGCTCAGACTTGAACATAGCTTCTCCAAAAACCAAGCAGACTAAACTAACATCTGAGTGAGGCCATACGTGCTCTCCCCCAAGCTCCAAACTCCAAGGCAGAATCGCAATGCTTTCTAGAGGTTCCCCTAAACTTCATCCACACAACCTAAAGCTACGTGATGGTGCTCAGAGAACACTGTCCTACTACGGTATGGTAAGCAGGCAACAGACTCAGGAGGTGGAATTGGGAATATGAGCTATTAAATAAGAACAATAAGGAATGGTTTTACCTTTTAGGTACTCATATCTCCTTTGTTCCTTTTAGGACCACTATGCTAGAATGTGAGGTAGGGACCAGAGGGACTTGGCCTTTGTGATGGAATAATATTGATACTTTCCCATCAAGCAATGTCTAATTATTTCTGAAGGCATTTCACACTCAATCTTATGTGAGCCTTACAAGAAGTGTGTAGAACAAGCATTGTCATCCCTGAGCTACTCTGAGGAAACTGAAGTGTGAGTATATGATATCCCAGGTCTGGCCTCAACCAGTAAGTAAAGAAAACCTTCCCCTGAAAAACAGGCAGAGCTTTTCTGCCTCTCTGTCAGGCCCTGGGCCTCGCTGTTAGGGAGATTCAAGTGGCTTAAGGTTGTAAATCATTTCGCACATTATATTCCCAGTATGCCATATTTCAGTGCAATACATCAAATGCAAATTCAATGTTTGCAAGAATTGTCTAAGAGGGTGAAAGCATCATGGCCTTCGGAAAACACAAAGCCAACACGCAACTCTCTAATCTTCTCCTGGGGTGAAACGCTACAGCACCCGAGAAATTTACCATCTCAGGAGCTCAAACTCCTGAGTTCAGACTGATGTCACTTATGGGCTAAAGCATAAAAAAGGACACACGAGTCTGAAATCCTTGTTACAATGACAAATACTGCATAGTTCCTTGTGCTATAAAAAGTTAGTGGGCAGAGATTATTGTAGCACGAAAAGGAAAGCTCTCACATCGACCTCTCAGGCCACTGCCCTTTCCCCTTAGACAACAGCCTCAAAAGTGTTGACAGACCTAAAATTCACATCACTCATTTTTCCTACTTTCAGCTCGCAAAACCTACAGTGACTCCAGCAGCTGTCGCCCGAAAGGATGTCGAGCCCAGGGTGTTTCCAAATCTGGATCAGACTTCGGACCAAGACAAAGATCTGTAGCTACTGTAGCCAGCGACCAAACCTGGGCAAATCAAAGAGAGACACCGAGACTCAGACTGGTGAGGACAGGAACAGGCAGCGTGGAAGGACCCCACCTCTCTTCCACATACGTGCCCCCCTTGCTACTCTGAGAGCTGCAAAGCTGGCAGCTTACAGCAATGCAGGATTTCAGGCCCCACTCCAGACCGACCAAATCAGAAATGGCATTTAACAAGATTCTTAGGGGACTGTAACATTTGAGAAACACTAGCCCAATAAACTTGGATTAAGCAAACTTCAGAGAAATGACACTGTGTAACAACTTCAACAGGGTGTCTATTGAAGCACTAACTCATGTGACTTTTTCTGCAGCTTCATTGGTGAATTGGCAGGGAGGAAAAAAGCATTCTGTATCATATTAAAGACCTGTTCTTTAGCAAATAATGAAGAACTGCTGCTTTCCTTACAAAAGTTTCAGTGTACTCTCAAACTACAGAAAAATAGGCCAAGGCAAAATAGACTTGGCTTTCTTTTTTTTTGACACCAAATCTAAGGAATATCTCCTCACAAATTTGAAATCTCATGGGGCTTGGTGACATCAAGCAGAAACCAATGTCCTTTAGTGGCTGTTAAACCTGAGATTTAGCACACATCTAATGCGCTGTGCCATCAACAGAGCCCACTCCCCTCTGCACCATTCAAAATGGAATATACTTTTGGGAAATCTTTCTTAGTAGCAACACATCATTGTATGCCAACTAACTGGAAAATGTTATATTAGACTCTGTGAGATACCTGAAAAGGAGAAATGCAGACTTTAAATCAAGGAGTTTAAAATCTAAGAAAAAAGAATGTGCAAATAAAAATACTGAAAAACAGGCAGAGAAACATATCGGGTATGTAAAAAAATTAAATTACGTGGCATCAATATTGTTAATGCACACAAGTATTGGTTCTAATGCGAAACCTGAGGTTCTGCTCATCTCTGTAATAAATGACCCACTTACATGGTTGCTAAAAGCAACAGGATAGGATGTTCACTACCCTGGCTGACAACTGAGGCCTGTTATTTCCTCACTTATAATATACATTTGTTAATAGCTTCAACAGAAGTAGTTGACACTTAGGCTTATTTCGGCAACTCATTGCAAAACAGTAGGCACATCATCTTCAACATGTGCATGAAGAATAGAAACATTTTTTCAACCATTTGCATTGATGTCATTTCTGTCCCACGAAACAGTGACACACCACAAACAATGATGATAATTGCAAGAACAGCAGTAGTAGTGGCACCACATGTTAGGTAATTACCATCTATCAGGGCCTTAGAAGTATTGCTCCTATTTTATAGTTGAGAAAACCGAGGTTCAGAAGGAGGAAGGGGCTGCCTAGAATCACATAACAAAAAAGTAACTAACAGGGCCCAGGTTTAAACTCAGGTCTGTCTAAATTCAAGGGAAGGGTCTTCCCACTTTACCTTGGACTAGCCTGACCTTCCAAATTAACTTAATAAAAACTTAAAAAACAAAGCAAAGCACTTTAGGAAGTAATTTTTCAGAACATAAATGTTTGGTAAATGCAATCCTAAGGCAGACCCATCTTCTCAACGACCCTGTGAGGTAATTACTCTTATGGTTCCCATTTCACAAACAGGCTGACAGAGTCTGAAATAATTTGCCCAGGATCACACGACTAGGGTGCTGAGCTGGACCTATGCATCCTGTTATACATTCCACAATATTTCTACTACTTTATTTTGTTCTTAGTGTTTGCAGAACTTTAGGTGGCTGGGTCCTTATAGAAATAGGTTATATTCATGACTTCAAATTTCACCTAATAGGTTTGAGCAAAAACTTGACAGTATTTATTATGGGATCAATGGAAATCCTAGGGATCTGTTACAAATAGAAATCAAGGGAAGGCCTTAGCTTGAGTCATTTGGAGGGTTATAAGGGAAAAAAACTAAGTGAATAGGGTAACAGCTAGCAGTTTCCACTAAAGACTAAAGGTGCAATAGACACATGACATGGATTAGTGGTCGCCCAGGGCTGGGTGAGGGAAGAAGGAACTGAGAACTAAGGGGTGTGGGGTGTCTTTTTAAAGTAAGGAAAATTTCTAAAAGTATTTGTGGTAATGGTTGCAAACTCTGTGAATATACTAAAAGCCATTGGATTGTACATTTTAAATGGGTCAATTGTAGGGTATATGGACTATATCTCAATAAAGCTGTTAAAAAACAATATAGGAGTAGCTTGCTTTAATATACTGATGTATTCCTGCAAAAATGAAGATTTAAATTTTTGTAAGATCATATCATATTTTTTAAACTGAACATGTCTAAAGGAATGTTTTTGTAAACTTGTTATTAAATGAAGCATTTTTTAAAGGAAAAAAAAAAGAACTGAGAGTACCAAAGGTAAAGATACAGATCCCAAATTTAGGCATGTAACAATCACCATGGTACTGAAAAGAAAAGAGATGTAATAAAAAAATACTTAGTAAATACTTTAGGATCCTCTCAACTAAGCACTAATAAGAAAAGCATCCAAGAGACTTAGAAAGCTGCTCTAGCCCTGCAGTTTGGCAAAGAAAACAGGAGAGAAACTGCAAAATAGGAGAAACATCTTGAAATGTCACTAAACTATAACTTTAAAGTGGAAACAACCTGCTCAAAAAGGAAAATCCAGATCTCCAGCAAAAGGAATAGACAATACCTGGACAAGATCCTTCCTTCCAACAAGCAAAGCAGAAGTAGCATTCTTCTGGCATGTTTCTTGAATATCATTTACGTTTAATCTGAAATTTTTAAAAAATTAAAAAGTATTAAAAAGTTTCTTTCCAAATAAAAAAATAGTAATAATTCTTTCTAGTCTAACTTTCTTAATTATTCCTGGTTTAACCAACAGACAAAAAACTGCCTCTTTGGTTGTCACTCAAAATGTTTTATTTGTATTGGCCTGAAGATCCCTTTGAATGTAACAAGAAGAAAATGCGTAACTACCAGCTGATGTTGTGCAGTGGGTTCAGGCCTGGGGGAAGGTAAAATTGCTTACCTCTTTGATGCCAGGAGAGGAGGCCAGACTCAAAAATCGGTTTGCCAACCCACTCCTCTATGGAGTTCCCCAGGCTTGAAGGTTGACTAAAAATGGACTGAAATACATACAGCAGCATTGCTTCTCATGCAAAGAGTAGTATGCTGTGTATATACTACACAATAAATATAGTACTTTTTGTTCCGTGTTCAAGTTCATGAAAAAGGGGAACCACAGGCCAGCCTCTGTATGCTTGTCACTCACCTCCCAACTCCCTTCAACCAAAGCGGCTCTGCTTTATCTATTTTACTGATTAGACTTGGGAGGCAGAATTCTGAGACTGTTCCCAAGATTTCTGCCCCCTGCTATGACTACCTTTTATAAATCCATCCCCTTAAACGTGGGCAAGACGAGTGACTAGTGATGAGATATCATTCCCGTGATTAGGTTATTATTAATTGGTCTTTGAATTTGTCAAAAGGGAGATTATCCTGAGTGAGCCTGACCTAATCAAGTGACACCTTAGAAGGTGGACTGACCGTGAGATACTCCTGCTGCTCTCAGAGAAGATGAAGTTCACCTAATTCAATGTCTGCAAGAAACCGAATTCTGCTAACCACCCAAACGAGCTGGAAGAGGACCCTGAGCATTAGATAAGCACATCGCCTGCTCCACTCCATGATTTCAGCTGCAGAGACCTGAGCAAGGGCCCAGCTAAGCCCTGCCCAAACTCCTGACCCCTGGACATTGTGAGACAATAAATGCAAGCTGTGTTAAGCCACTAAGTATGTGGTAATTTGTTATGCAGCAATAAAGCTAACACCCCGGGGCTTCTCCTAAAACTGCTTTCAAAGAAAGGGTTCCAGTACTTAAAAAAACAAAACCAAAAAAAAACCAACTCTGATAATCATGCCTAAATGACAGCCATGGTATATGTGAAATTTTGAACTTACATGTACAGTTCTCCCAATGCCTTGTGAACAGGAAGAAGGCATGCGATATCCTGGATGATAACTTTCCCAGCAGCCTTGATTGGTCGATTGCCTGAGTCTGATCCCTCGCGCTTGCTTTTCCACCTCCTTGATTTCTGGGGGAGATGACAAGATATAACTAATGGGGACTTTGCTGAATGGAAACCTACAGTTGCAGAGCACATCATAGTTGGGTCACTGGTAATTTGCAGAGAGTTTGCATTACATCATGCCCACAATTATACGAATCAGCATCTGTAGGAAACAAAAGGATAACAAAGGGCATTGAGCTCTTGGTCCAAAAGCCTAACAGGAAAACAAGCACTTGTTGCAGAGCTGTGTGCATTCTGCAGGTGCTCAAAAACAGACATCTTGAAGCCAGAATTTAAAAAAATAAAGACAAAAAAGAACAGCAGGTAAATAAGTTAGTAAAGACTACAAAAATGTGGGAGAACAACTTTTACAGCTAGGTTCAAAGTTCTTGCTTGAAACTAAACCAAAGTTCTCTCCCTCCTAAGAGAGTTTTAATAGGCTTTGTTGCAAATTTAATCCAGACGTAGTGTGGGTCCTGCAAACTTTAATCTACGGTAGGCAGACAGAGAAACTTAGCAACTCAAAGACAATTATCCTGTTTTTCCTAGCAGACTTAAATTGTTTCTAAAAGTAATCATTTTAGAATGTCAAAAATACTTGAGCAGAGGGATGTGAGTAATGGAGATGGAAGATCATGAGCAATTATCTTATTTTCCCAGAGCCTTGCCTACAAATAGCTATGTAGGAGCCCGTATGCGGGAAATGAGAGCTATCTTAGAAAATGAAAATTATTAGAGTAGCACCATCTGGTATCTTTAAAATGACAACCAGCGAAGGGAGTGGTATTCTATTTTATTTTATTGCCAGAAATTAAAACGGGGGCCACCAAAGTGACTCACCTCAGGAGGAAGGAGACATGTTTGTTAACAAAGGGTACAAAAGGAGCTGGTAAAGGGGCCTGCCATTTGGAGCCAAAAACCCAAGGTTTACAGGTCTGTTTGCCACATGTACTGGTTCAAGGTGACCCTGAGCAAATTACTTCTTTGCTCCGAATTCAGTCTCAGGTCACACTCTCTTCATTCCCTGATAACGTGTGGCTCAGAAGGAGCTGCTGTTCCAACCTCACAAGGTTTCTAAGGGTACAATGCAAAGGAAAGTATAAACTCTGTAACTGAAAAAGCACAATTTAAAAGTCTGTAATTTCTATGAATGTGTATACACCTTCAGAAAGTTAGATTAGATCATTATCTTGATGACTCATGAATTCATTTTCAACAAGTGATTTTTATATAATCACTTTTTCATAAATTAGTCATAGTCTATATTCAGATCTCTATGACCCCTGATGTCTCAGCTAATCGCCAAAGTTGCCCAATGCATGTAACTCCTGTAGGATCAGTAAGTGCTATGGAACCTACTAAATCCAAGATAGCTGGCCTTAGTTCAAGAAAGGCAAATGAAGACATTTGGCTGAAATATTTGAATTGCTTATCATAATTGGTAAATACATATGCTTCATTATCAATTTGGACCTTAACCCATCTGCTCTTAAGAAGCAGTTCAGTTGCTATTTACTATTTATCTATACACAAGACATTATTCTATAATGTAAGAGGAAGCTTCATCTATTATTGTGGTTCAATTCTCTGCTAGCCCTGGTTATTTTCTAAATTTGAATTATGTGCACACTATCCTTTTAGCCATAGCTATACTGATGTGGATGCAAGTAAGGAGAGAATGTGCTAAAGAGCAAACAACCTGTCAGAATGGACTGGAGCCAGGCAGTGTTAACCAACAGGAGATGACCTCGCCATGTGTGTATACTGGTGTTATGATATGACTGGCTTTAGTAGCGAGGGTTATTTAGCGGAGACAGGAACAGCACAATGTGGTTAACTAGAACAGGGGGCATATAAGTACATACATTCATTTCACTGTGATTTCTATCCAGGTTTTCAGGAGTTTAAAAACCCCAGAAAACGACAAACCTACAGGTCCCACATAACTGGTCATCTCACATGAGATTTAGGGTACTGGACGAAGGGAGGGAGGGAGGGAGGGAGGGAGGGAGGGAGAAAAGAAGGAAGGAAAGGAAGGAAAGGAGAGAAGAGAAAAGGGAAAGGGAAAGGGAAGGGAAGGGAAGGGAAGGGAAGGGAAGGGAAGGGAAGGGAAGGGAAGGGAAGGGAAGGGAAGGGAAGGGAAGGGAAGGGAAGGGAAGGGACCTACTACACTAGAAAGATTAGACTAGGAAGGGAATATAATCGTGTGGCTCGGTCTTCCAGGCTTCTAAAACACTGTCCCAGGCAGTCATTCTGGTTCCCTATTGCAAAGCGAAAATGAAAAGCACTTAAACAATTGAGCAATAAATTGGTTCTGTTTAACTAAATAGGGATAATAAACAGAAGCTCACAAGGCATGGGGTCATAGCTTTCAGGCCACAGTGAAAACCACCACAATACCCTGCCTTTTTAAGCAAACCCAATGAAAATATAATATAAAGCCCCAAGTGCTGAAAGCGGTTCATTTGCAAATAGACTAGCTCACTTAAAAATGTTTTTCCTTGGCAGACTTGCATTACTTCTAAGAGTGATCATTTTAGAATGTCAGAAATACTTGCACAGAGGGACGTGGACAATGGACATGGAAGATCACGAGCAATTATTTCCCCAGAGTCTTGCCTACAAATGGTTACATAGGTGCCCGAATGTGGGAAACGAGAGATGTCCCACAAATCCAAGTGTACAGACGTTTGACTTAGGATTTAAAGGCTTGCCTGTCATTAGCATCTTTAGCTCCTGCCACGGACTGCTTACTATGCGAGCATTAGCCTCGCTGCAGCTCTCACAGAGGGGTCGTGGCTGCCATTATTACTCCAGGCCACACTCGTAAGAGCTGAGATTTGAGCACAGGCCTGTCAGGTTACTAAGCCCATATTTGTTAACCTGTTTTATGATTTTAAATTAAAAAGAGAAAAAAAATTAAGTCCTGACTAAGCTATCTGTAAATATGTAAACAGCTTGGTCCATTTTTAAATGGATCCATTTCTGCATAGAAGAAGAACAGCATCTGATTTTAGTGAGGCCTATCCAACACACCATCCTCTGCAATTACTCCCTTCTACAGTCACTTCTCTGCCAAGCACCGTTAACTGTCCGCTACGCCAGAGCAGTGTGCCGCAGGCCAGCAGGGGCCAGCAGCTTCTGCGGCTATGCGGCTTCACACTCCCACGCCATGCTCAGCGCCAGGTGCAGCATTCCAGGCCAGGTTCAAGAGCCTGCACCTCAGGCTGTTCAATCGCCTTTATGGACTGGTTAGGATCAGGTGCATTCACAGAGAAGACTCCGAGTCCAATGAGACTTGTTAGGACTCTGCCCCACCTGCAGTCATGGGTTAAAGAGATCAGGAGAAATAACCAATATGAGTCATCCGTAAGCACTTGATGAAAATGTAAAGGTAGTGGCCTTGGACAACTATCTACAATTATCCTTCCTTGGATTATGGGAAGCACAGTCTGTATTTCCTGGGACTTCCTGGTCAACTTCTTGAGAGACACCAGGTTTCTAGGTGCCTCTCTATTTAGTCTGTTGGATATATAGGTGAAGTTTTATGAAACCTCAATGACCTCCCTTTCAGCCTATAAATAGGAGAAGCTTCCCCAACACAGGGTCACCAAATTATAGTTGCCACCAAGAATCAAACTATAAAAGCAATTATGGGACAGCAGTATTCGTTCATTTAATCCAGCAAGGAATACTTTATCAAACATCTTTAAGCGATCACAACGTAGTTTCTTTTTAAATGTGCTGGCTGGTGGTTTTAAAATATGGAATATCTCCCCTACAGTCTACAGGAGTCAATCAGTAATCCTGCCTAGTGGCCAATTACTCTCTGGATTCAAAGAAAACAAGGCTGCCTAAATGAAGATTGCTAAATTTCAAATCCTTGATGCTCCGTAAAGAGCATGGACTATTTTTCAGGGTGTTTCTTCTAAAGCTTTGGCAATAAAAAGGGTTCATATTCCATCCACACTTCCCTAAGACTTCCTTTCCCCTTAATATCTTGTGGCAATTTTAGGAGTTTCTCTTATCTGTGCAACTGTCAGGTGACGACAGGCAGAGAACAATGACACACCAGTCTGAGTGCGGCTCATCTTTCCAGGTGAGGGGCGGGCACTGAGGCCCGAACACCGCCTGCACCTACTGCGCTGCTCCAGTCTCACTCTGACGGGCTACAACATGGATGCATTTCTGTGCAGTAAAATCAGTATCTCTGGGAAGCAGAGGGCTCTGCATTTCTCTTAGGTCTTCTCAATGCCCCATCAAGAGAAAATGCCCTTCCCCACAGATTATAAGCAGGGATTGAGAAAAGAAGGACAAAGCAAGACAGACAATTATCACATAATGAGCACTGGGATGCTCCTCTGAACATACCAAGAAGGGGTTCATGGAATTACGGGAAAGAGGACAGGGAAGAAACGAGTCAGGGGGAGGGAGAGGGAGGGAAGCATTGGTGCAAATAGCACTGAATGACAACCAACAGCCAGCTTGCAACTGTACCACCAGTATTACTGCTACAATCGGAGGCAACATCGATGCCGATAAATGGGTTAAATGTAAAAACAGCCCAAGAATAAGTCACCAACTGCTTTGCAGCAACCCCATCAACAATGCGTCATCAGCAGAGTGGGCAGTGAGTCTAGATGAGTTCCTGTTGAAACAGCAGCAGGAGCAGGGACTGCTGGAAAAATCCGTGGCGGTTCAGCAGTCGGGTTGGCCGGGACAGGCGTTTTGAGGAAAGGTGGCCACACTGGCAGTTCCACCTGCCAAGTTGTTGGCAGCAGTGGTGCTTGCTCATCAGGGCTCCTGATTTCAACTGGGTTTTATGTGAAAAGGCTGTAACTATTCCCCTAAACATTTTTTACACCAAATGAAATTTACATGAAAGCCTCAAGGCCACCTCGCACAGCCTGAGGTCACCGTGGCACTGCTGACACGTGAAGCGGGCGGGAGAGGAAGACAGAAGAGGGGAGATGGCCGATAGGAGTAAGAAAGGAAGAAAAGGAAGAGAGGATGTCCACAGCACAGGCTCTACTGTCAGTGCAAAATACCGATGGTAAGGGGGAAAAAATGTGTTACAGATAAGTCCCAAAGGAGAAAAACTAGCTTATGTGTCATGCCAATAAAGCAGATGGGCACTTCCTTCTTTGAATTAGACGGAGATGATAAAGACAAGACAAAATGGTGGAAGCCTCTTATATCTTCCTCTGCTTCCCCAATGCCAAAAGCAGGCTTTTGAAAGCTCTATGAAATTATACAAATACTCCAAATGAAATCAGGTGAGCTAAAGGTTTACAACTGGGGTGCTTTCCAAGAAACCAGGTACTGAGTTTCAATTTCAAAGGTCCATTCATAGTCCTTAATGGCATCGGTAGTCACCCATCTGAAACTGTCAGGGAACAAGGAGCCAGGCCTTGGTACATGACTCCCAACAAGGGAAATTTACTGTTGCTGGTCCTGAAACCCAGCCAGCTGGTCATTTCAGGTTCCTCAAAGCCAGGCAGGTGGCATTTTATTCTTGGGCCTTTGGGCAGAGACAGGATTAGTCAAGGAGAGCATTTGCGCAGCGCACAGTACCGGGAAGTCGTTAATTGCTTGTATGGACCAACGTCGCCGGGCAGAGCGAGGAGACATCTGTGCGTGAAAACGTTACACCCAGGAGGAGGGAAGAAAAACACCAAGAAAATTAAAAGGGAAGAATATAGAATAAAATGAAAGCTTCCCACACATGTGATGGATTAAAAGGCACCACAATATACTACAAAATCGAGATTGAAATGACTACAAAATCTGAATCTAACACAGCAATAGGTGGATTCCCCCACCTCCCACCCAACCCATCACACTCCAAAACCAGCCCCAACCTCAGTGTTCTTCAGCCCAAAACACACTTCAGGATATAAGGAGGCTGACGTCCACACCGCTCTGACAAAGGAACTATAATCAAGCTCTGTGGTTCTCTAACGAGGATTAGGACCATAGGGTAAGTGGAGTGAGAGTGGAGCGGGTGTGTGCGAGAAGACTCTCATTCCTAAAAAGGAAGAGGTTCTTCCATACACTCAATACCACATTTTTTGTGTGTGTGGTTAATGGGCACTGGAGAAACTGGAAATCTTGACCTTGGGACAGCCTGACTATTTTTATAGTGAAGCCATGAGGAATCAAGAGCCCCCAAAAATGCAGGGAAGAGTGGACTACAGCAGAGGACCTAAGGACATCCTTGCTAACCATATATGTGCATCAGTGTGAAACTGGGAGCACAGACACTATTTACGGAAATCAGAAATTATTCTAGCAACTTCAAGACCTCCCCAGTTATTTACATTACAGCTCTGTTAATAACATAAACTGAAGCAAGTGGGGGAGGTTGCAAATTTTTTTTACATGTTTATAGGGTAATATCTAACGTTTCCCAGGAGTTCTGGGCCTTCCAATTTACCCTTAGAATATGCAATTATTTCATCAACTATTAATAGTTGGTCCAGTTACCAAATGAACGCTATCACCTCTCTGTGTTTTCTAACTTCCTATAAAAGGTGTCTCACATTTTTAAAAAATTTTGTGAGCAACCTTGCAATTCCATCTGGAGAACATTTGGCTTAACATAATAACATGACCTAAGCAAAGCAGGTTAAAAACACAAAAACAAGAGAAAGGGACAGTAATCCCCAATGGCTCTATATATTTTTTGTAATTGCCAAAATATGCTATAATACCTTCACTGCTATATTTCATTACAGTTGTATTTGTTTTCTTTATTCGTATTCACTTAAAGATCTCAGGGATAGAGATATAACAGAGAATAGAAATATGAAGGAGAAAGATCTGGACTGAAAGTAAAAACAAAGAAATTTAGTAAACTGAAATCATTCCCAGAACCAAAGTAATGATAGTGATATTATTTGATCCGTGAAACTAGACTCCTTGAGGCACAAAACCGTACTGCTATCCATAGGGAGAGTTAGATGGCCTGTATACAGTATCATGGCTGCATTTCATTTCTTTCATCCTCCACCTTTACCCCATATAAATGGGATGGACATGAACGAGCTTCAAGGAGAGATGAATTTATTTCAAATTCATCACAAAATAATTGAATTGCTCATTTTAACATCTTAATAGGTCAAACCAACTGAAACTTTTCTTTAAGATCAAGAATGGTCAAATATCACCAGTTTCATATGATTTAACCTAAAATTTATTCTACGTCATCCACTGAAATGTGCCTTCTTTCCCCCAGGCTTCTAGGGTTCTTGTAATGTTCTATTTCCTGGCTGGTATGACTGTTAGTTCACTGAATTATACGCTTATGATCTGAGAACTTTTCTGTACCTAGATTATATAGCCATATAAAAGTTTCATATAAAATTATAATAAAAGTGTCTCCCCCATTTTACTTACTCACTATCTGAAATAAAACTTAAAGACCACTTACAATGTCATCCTCCGGGAGGATCACAGCCCATTTTCGGTAGAGAAGCAGCACAGTGGTAACCACCCAAACTGAAATACACAGTCCACCCCGGGTCCCTCTTTATGATTACGGTGTTTGTAGTCAAAGAGGCCAGACCATCAAAAATGTGAGTGTAGGAATTACAAATGCTCCTGCATTAGGAGAGGTCCCAAGTTGGAACTAGAGTGATTTTGACTGAGCATGGCCTTTACACACTGTCACAGAGTCAGAAGTTCCAGACCATGTATTGTGCCCAATCTGAATCCTAGCATGAGTAGCACATGACATGATTCGAGGGAATTCCGAACTGCCTCTTGGACTAAAAGGTTTCCTCAATCTGGCTGTGACACTGAAGAAAATTCCCATGTTTATCTGACCGTGAGTTCGTGCGGCTGGCATGCGTGTCAACTGAAAAACGGCTTGGTTCCACCAGTTTATCAAATCATCTAACCAGTGAAGTTACCAGCCAGCTTGCATTAAAAAAAAATTTTTTTTAATGTAAAAGATTTGCAAAGTTATGGTGCTCCAGGAAGGTCTGTGACAGCCAGAGGAGTGGAATCCATTTCAGCAGGGATGTATAGAAGGGGACTAGAAAAAGTTGGCCAGAAAGGCAACAAAAAAATCATTGTCCATGTTTGACTGAATGGTTTTGCCCACTCTGGCCCTGTCTTAATCATCAGTTACTACCACTCATTTCGGATGATAAAGTCAGGGATGGCCACCTATCAGTGTGAACCCAAGAAGGTCCGATAGAATACTGCAAACAGAGTGAAGACACCTCCAACACTTACTAGGAGTTGGTTTATTTAAAATAATTCAATTAAAATTTTTAATGAAAGTCAATCCATCATTTCCTAATTAGTGGGGAAAAACAACAAAGAATCCCTATGAACTGAGTTTGTGAGTAGCTCAAACATCATGTCAGTTAAAAGCCTGTTTAACCCAGACTCTCAATCTGACGAGAAAGAGTTCTCAGAGTCCTTCCTACGCTCTGCCAACATTCTCTGCATTGTTGTCGCTAAAGGCTTCTGGCAGTTTAATAGCTACTTTAGGGATGATGAGTTCCTTGAGAATCCAGGAACAAAAGGACAGGTTCAGGTGATTTTTATATAAAATGGTCCATTCAAATGCGTACTTCATTGTAGACTAAGGAAAATTATAAAACCTCTTAGAGATCAGCTTTAAAACTTCTCACAGATATGAAGTTCCAAATATATCAAGATCCCGAGCCTTCAGAAATACCCCTTAAATTGTTGACAAAAATCAGAATACCAAGGAAAGACCTGAAGCTAAACTACTCTATCTGAAAGAATGAGAATCAACTTACTAAATGGGGATTACAAAAATAGGGTTAAATGGAGAGAGAAGACTATGGATTATAAGAACTAACATTCCCCCCCCCCCCCCGCCACATAAAATTCACAGCAGTTAAAACCAATAGAAAGGCCTAAAACAATGGTCCTTCTTTAACAAACTATTTATGAAAGTGAAAGACAAGAGGGGGTTACTAATTTAGCTGCTGTGGGTAGCAGGCAGGAAGACAAGGAATCCAGGGAAGGGATAAGAATCAGGGGCCGTGGCTCTGCGGCTTACCCGCTCCTTGTAGTAGAAGGAGCTGATGGAGACCTGCTCTTTCTCACTGCGAGTGGGGCTCCCACTGTACAAACGAAGGTTCCCAGGGGCCTCTGTGCGGATCTTCATTGGCGCAATCAAGCCAGTATGATACGCAGACAAGGCCGAGAGAGATCTGTGGTTGAAAATGCAACATTATCCATACTGGCTTCGATCTTTCCATACTTCTAAATCGTGCTGTTCTTAGCACTTGATGAAACCAGGAGGAAAAGATGGATAAAATGGAGAAAAAGGGAAATTCCAAAAAAGAACCAAATAGAACTTTCAGAACTGAAAAATACTTTATCTGCAGAAGTAGAGAATGTTTCTATGATTATACATGCATACATAAGAAATTCAAAGAAATCTACAAACTACTAAAACTAATATGTGAATTTAGATACAAGGTCAATCCATAAAAATCAACCGTTTTTCTATATACTAGAAGTAAACATTTGGAAAATAAACATTTAAAAAATTTACAATAGCATCAAATACCTAGGAACAAATTTAATTTAAAAAATGTGCATTGAAAATACATAATATTACTGAGAGAAATTAGAGAAGGCCCAAGACAACAGAAAAGTATACCATATTAGTGGATTGGAAGACTCTATATTGTTAAGATATCGATTTTCTCCAAATTGATTACAGAGTCAAAAGAATTCCAATCAGTGGCTGGTGTGGCTCAGTGGACTGAGTGCAGACCTGCGAACCAAAAGGTTGCTGGTTCGATTCCCAGTCAGGGCACGTACTTGGGTTGCAGGCCAGGTTCCCAGCTGGTGGTGTGAGAGGCAACCTATAAATGTATCTCTCACACATCAGTGTTTCCTCTCTCTCCCTCCCTTCACCTTGCTCTAAAAATAAATAAATAAAATCTTTAAAAAAAAACCCAAAAACCAATTCCAATCATAATTTGATCTTTATCAAAGAAACCAATGAGCTTACTGCATCTTTTATATAAATGTAAAAGTATTCAACACAATCCTGAATAAAAATAATAAAGCTGGAGGACTTACACTACCAGATTTGAAGACTTACTATATAAAGTTACATTAAGAGTAGTGTTGGCATCAGGAGAGACCAACTGATTAAAGAAAAAAGACTTAGAAATAAACCCACAAACATGATCATTGACTTTCAACAAGTGTATCAATGCAGAATAAGAACAGAAAAATCTTTTCCATAAATCGTACTGAATCAACGATATACCTCTACTGAAGAAAAAATAAAATTTGACTCCCAGTTCACATCATACACAAAAATTAATTTGGGGTTGATTACAGACTTTTAATAAGAAATTTAAAACTATAACCCGTTGAAAGAAAACACAAAAGAATAGTTTTATGACCTTGGGGTAGACAAAGATTTTTTTTTTTAGACAGAACACAAAACCATTAACCATAAAATTTAAAAAGTTATGAATTGGATTTTATAAAAATTAAAAATGTTATTCATCAAAAATCACTAAGAAGAGAGACACAGCCACAGATTACAAGAAAATCAATACATACATCTAGCAAAGAACTTGCAACCAAAATGAAAAACTACCATAAATAAATAATAAACCCTGACTGGTGTGGCTCAGTGGACTGAGCATCAGCCTGTGAGCAGAAAGGTTGCTGGTTTGATTCTCAGTCAAGGCACATGCCTGGGGTGCAGGCCAGGTCCCTGGTTGGGGGTGTGCTAGAGGCAACTGGCCAATGTTTCTCCCTCTCCCTTTATCCCTCCCTTTCCCCTCTCTAAAATTAATAATGAATAAAATCTTTAAAAAATGAAAAAATAAAAAGTGAATAAATGAATAATAAACAGTCCAAAAAAATGGGCAAAATACTTGAATAGACACATTTCAAAAGATACCCCAATGGTCAATTAGCACACAAAACTGCCTCAACATCATTTGTCCTCACCAGGGGTGATGCAAATTAAAGCCGCAAGGAGATACTACCACACACCTATCACAATGGCTACAGTTAAAACAACTGAAAATGCCATGTTTTGGAGAGGACGTGGAGCAACCAGAACTCTGAAACACTGCTGGTTGAGTGTAAAATGGTACAGTACAAACACTGGGACAGACTTTTTTGGGAATTCTAATAAAATTAAACACACAGCTATCCTATGATCCAGGGATTTGACTCCTTGGGTAGAGAAATTAATACCTACATCCATAAAAAGACTTATATTTGTAGGTCTACAGAAAACAGGTGTATGAATAAACAAGCTGTATTGTTTTAATACAATGAGCCTATGAGTACATGCAACAATGAGGATCAATTTCAAAAACATGAAGTTGAGCAAAATAAGCCAGACATAAAATAGCACATGCAGGATGGGGGGAGGTAAGAGATAAAAGAAGAGATTAACCAAAGACCACTTATGCACAACACAGGGACTCTGGGGATTGGCCTGGGGAGGGGGAGGGGGGGCTCAGTGGAGGCAGGGAAAGGGAGGAGAAGCAGGAACTGTAACAGCGTAAACAATAAAAATAAATAGCACATGCTGCATGAGCCTATTAAGATGAAATTCAAGCACAGGCAAAACTAAATGACAACAATAGAAGTCTGAGTGGCCAGCTTCTTCTGGGCAAAGCGACCAGGGAGGTTTCGGGGTGAGGGCAGGGCTCTGTATCTTGAGCTGGGTGCTGGTCATCAAGGGATACACTTCTCATTTTTGTGCTATAAATTATAACTCAATAAAATACTGTCAGTATGCACAACATTCTAATGGAAACATTTCCCCCTCTGGTCTGAAATTCAGATACAGATATTGTTATTTTCCTTTGAAAGTAGGTGATTGTTTTCTAGTCGAACCTTTCAAATAAGGAACTCAGTGTAATGTAAGGGGTCTCTAGCACTTAACTCCTGGTCCTCGTGGGTCCACACTCTCCTCTGGCCGGGTGACTGTGCAGACTGGCAAACTCCCAGACAGCGGCGCCCAGGCATTTGATCCAATCTCCTTTCTCCCTGGTTGGTTCAGCCAGTCATTCCCAAGTGTGCTAAAACGCTACACCAGGACATCCAGGTGTTTGTAGGAGGGTTTAGAAGTTATCATGGTCACCACACTGCAGAACTAGAAGTATGTAACTTATCATATTTAAATTTTAAAAACCAGTAGAATGGGAGACGTTGTGCGTGCGTGCGTGCGTGCGTGCGTGCGTGTGTGTATGTGTGTGTGTGTATGTGCGTGTGTGTGTATGTGCGTGTGCGTGTGTGTGTGTGTGTGTGTGTGTGTGGTGGGAGAACAAGGGTATATGGGAACTATCTATAATTTCCACTCAATTTTGTTATGAATCTAAAATTGCTCTAAATGGTAGTTTATTAATTTAAAAAAAACCCGAAAACTTTACAATATGACACAATAATTCTGCTCTTAGGTAATACCCAAGAAAAATGAAAATATATGTCTACACAAAAGCTTGTATACAAATGTTCATAGCAGCATTATTCATAATACACAAAAAGTGGAAATAACCCAAATGCCCACTGACTAATGAATTAATAAATAAAATGTTTGGGGGGAAAAAAAGAAATAAAGTACTGATACATGCTACAATATGTCTCATCCTTAAAACATTATACCAGATGAAAAAGCCTGTCACAAAGGACCACATACTATGTGATTTCATTTACATGAAATGTCTGGAATGGGCACATTTATAGACAGAATGTAGAAAAAGAGTGTGCCCAGCGCTGAAAGAATAGGGGACTTTGGGGGACGGGTGACAGCTAAGGGACATGAAGTTTCTTTTTGGAATAAAAACATTCTAGAATTGGAGTGTCGTGATGACTGGATATATCTGTGAATACACTAAAAACCACTCAATTTATACACTTTAAATGGTCAACTGTATACTATGTGAATTATACCTCAATAAAACTATTAATAAAAACTTTTTTTTAAAAAAGTAGTAATAATAAGAAACGCTGTTGGCACAGTGTTCTAAACACATTACAGGGACTAACTCATTTAATCTTCAAAGTAAAAGAGGTAGGTGCCACTATCATCCCCAAGTTATTGCCGAGGAAAATCAAGCACAGTCCTAAGGTCATAAAACTACAGGGCCATCCTGGTCAGGTGGCTCAGTTGGTTGGAGCATTGTTCTATACACCAAAAGGTTATGGGTTCAATTCCCAGTCAGGGTACACACCTAGGTTATGGGTTTGGTCCCTGGTCAGGGCACACACAGGAGGCAACCAATCAATGTTCCTCTCTCCCTCTCTAAAGTCCATATTCCCACTTGCTATGCTAGACTGCCTCTCAAAAAAATAAAAGTAGAAAAATAATGAAGACTAAACAGAAAACACACACATTAGACTATTAAAAGTGGCTTTCCCTGGGATGTATTAAAAAAAAAAAAAGGAACTTTCATAATTTAATTTAAAACTTCCTTATTGTTTGAGTTTTTCCAACATATTACTTATACAGTTAAAAAAAAACAAAAAACTTAAGCACATTGCAGTAACGCTAGAAGTGGTATGTTGTTGTTGTGGAACTACAGATGATCACTTACAATTTTTCTAGTTTTATTTAATGTTCAAATAATACTTTAGCAATAGGGGAAAAGCACATTAAAAAGAAACTTGCTTTATTCTGACAACAGCTTTTATCAAGCTACTCCTTCTAGTCGTTTGGTCATAACTTCATGATAGAAATCTCAGCTTAGTTGCAATTTAATGAATCTTATCTTTCTCAAATAGATCTAAAAGGTATTTACGAAAGCTAAAATAAATTGTCCAAAGACACAATCAGTGGTTATTCCCAGATGTCTGCCTGCTTCATGAATGCAGTTTACATCTGTACCTCCAGACTCACCTCGGAGTAGGTTCTGTTGGAGATACTGCTCGATGCATTGTCATAGGCCTTGTGAAATACACCAGATACCCTAAGGAAAAAGACATCGCATGTGCGCATTAAGGTCAATGAGCTCGATGTGGGATATCCTAAGGCAGCACTGGTCAGTCTTTGTCTGTTTCAATATAGCTGAAGGACAGAACACATTTCCGCGAGGTGCCAAGGCTCATGACCGCAGCCATACGTAACAAGGACAAAGGCCAGAATCTCCATGATCCAGGAGAGATGGGAGGTATGGGGTTTGAGAAAAGCCTTCACAAGTACTTCATATTACCCGGCTAGGGGACCTGTCCCCTGTTCAGAATCAGGACTCTGAGCAAGATTCAAATTCACACTCATCAAGACTGTAATTCTGGTGAACACTTGTAGGCATGTCCATAGACACCAGCTGGTGTCAGAACATATAGCAGTATTACACAAGTCTTTGAGTCCTCAGGAAATAAAAATGGAAAAAAAAAAATGCTCTCTTTCAAAATCTTCAATCAGAGCCCTGGCTCAGTAGACTGAGTGCCAGCCTACAAATCAAAAGGTCATTGGTTTGATACCCAGTCAAGGCACATGCCTGCGCTGTGGGCCAGGTCACCAGCTGGGGGGCTTTGAAAGGCAACCGATATCTTCTGCACATCGATGGTTCTCTCCCTCTCTTTCTCCTTCCCTTTCCCTCTCTCTAAAAATAAATAAATAAAATATTTTAAAAAATTCTAGAATCAGAAAACTAAAAAGAGACCCACCTGCTCCACAGAACCTGGCCCCTGAGGTCCTTGGAAAGGGAATATTGGCATCCTGGTATGACCCATACGCAGTGGTTACCCGGGCAAACGTGGGTAAGGGGGGTGTGACGGAGTTTGGGAGTGCGAAGGGGTTGCTGGACGCACTGTCTTCTTGATTCTGAAATTTAAAAATCAACAGACTAAAAACCACAAACTCTCAAAGCTGAATTACAAAATAAAGACACATTATTACACATCAGAGTGCCCAGGAGTTAAGGGAGGAAGATACAAAACAGAACACCAAAGCATAGATTGATACAAGAATATTACCACAAAAGACTCAAGACAGGAGACAAGCTGGCGCAGGCAGGGCTCCAAACAACTTTGGTTGCGCTTCACTTTTTGCAGGGAAGTGTCTTTCAAGATCTGGAAAAGGCACAAAACAAGGTCAAAAATAGCAACATACTTTCCCCTATTTCACTTTTATTCTTCAAAGCCGTCAGAGCACTGAAGATGCAAGGAGACTGGAACACGGCCATGCCTGAGGATTCCCACACAACATCCCACCCTCCACCTTCTCTAGAGGCTCTGAGAGGAGGTTCATTTCTGAGCCCAATTCGAGAAGCCGTTTCCTTAGCCAGGGCAGGCACACATGCTGGTTTGGAGAGAGCATATTTCTAGTAATGGAATGAATATTCTATTTATAGTGAATTCTACTCCTTTCTTTATCTCCTGCCCTACCCTGCTCCATGAGAAATCTCAGTACCTTAGAAGTAATACCCTCTGGACTGAACTGAAAATTGCTCTGAATGATACATACTCATATAAGCTAGGGGGAACAGATTCCACTTTAGTGAAAGTTACAATGTATCCTTTTTTGGGTTCTTTAAAAATACAAATCCTATCATTTTAAGGCACTTGCTGTACATATAAATTGACATACACAAACTGAAGACAGGCACGTAAATTGGCCCTCTGCTGCCCAACATGGAAGCCATTGCTCACGTGGGCACACCGAGCATGTGAAGTGTGACTGTCTGGACTGAGGTGTGCTGTTGGCGTAAAATTCCTACCAGTGTTGAAGACTTAGTACAAAAAAAAAGGAATGTCAACTATCTCAATAATGTCAATTTTCATCCTGATTACATGTTGATATGCCAATACTTTGGGTATACTGGACTAAATAAAAATATTATTGAAATTAATTAACCTCTGACTTTTACCTTTTTGTGTGTGTGGGTACTAGAAATTTTAAAATTACATGTGGCATGCATTATATTTCTATGTCCAGCGCTGAATTCAACCTTTAAACATTTTTTAAAATCTATTTATTTTTATCCTCACCTGAAGACGTGCTTATCGATTTTAGAGAGAGGAGAAGGGAAGAAGAGAAAGAGGGAGAGAAACACTGATGTGAGAGAGAAACATCGATCAATTGCCCCTCATACGCCCAACTGGGGACTGAATCCGCAACCGAGGCAGGTGCCCTGATGGCGCCGAGACCTTCTGGGTTACAGGACGATGCTCCAACCACCTGAGCCACGCCAGCTAAATCCAACCTTTAAAAACACTTCCTAATCCTACCATTTTTATAACCACAAGAAAAATATATTTTTTTGTATGTCTAAACAAGACAATGAAATATTCAAATTCCAAATACAAAATGCCAAATACCACAAAATCTGAGTAATTAACATTTCAGAGATCCTTACAATACTTGAAATATTTCTTGATTACATAACTAGGTATGGTGACAGATGGGTACTTGAAATATTAGGAGGAACACTTTGTAAAGTGTATGACTGTATAATCACTATGCTGTACACCTGAAAGTAAAAATAATATCAAATATAAACTGTAATTGAAAAAAAAAATTTATTACAGGTCATACTCCAAGAAGATAAAGTGCATATGAAACAAATTAGGCAAAAGGTGAACAGCATTCAGGTCAACTTGGCTTTGTCAGGACATCTCAGTTACCTCACACGTGGCGCTGCTCACGCTGAAAAAGGTGTATCGCCCGCAGCCCACCGGGCTTCCTCATGGGATCCTGCCTGACGTGCTCTGCGTGAACTGACAAATCGGGCTTCTGAACCTGTGGGTAAAGGCCAGATGCCGGGCTTCTCTGCTCAGCGCTGCCATCCTTCCACACACTCAGAGTCACTAGAGGATGGCGCTGTCTCTTTTTATGGAATGGGTTTTTTTAAAAAAATAATCTTACGCATTTTTTCCCTGATTATAAAAAATCCTTTATCACCCCATCTGGTGTGGCTCAGGAGATGGAGCACTGTCCCGTAACCAAAAGGTTACGGGTTTGATTCCTGGTCAGGGCACATACCTGGGTTGCGGGTTCATCCCTGGTCTGGGCACAGGTGTGTGCAAGCCCCGGTCTGGACATGTACGATCCCCAGTCCCAGGATGGATCCCTGGTCTGGGTGTGTATGAAGGCAACCAATCGGTGCTTCTCTCACATCCATATTTCCCTCTCTTCCTTCCTCTCTCTCTCCCTCCCTCTCTCTCTCTAAAAAAGCAAATGAAAATGTCCTCGGGTGAGGATAAAAAAATAATTAAATAAAATCTCTTTTATCTTCAGAATACATTTTGCTTATTGTTTCCAGATAAATGAAATTGTATGGCAAGGTTCTTAACCTGGGATTAATATTTAGTTTTAATGAATCTCTGAGCAGATTATATACAATTTTAGAACTGCCTATTATTCATATGAAATTTTCTGAAATTATATGCAACATTTGTGCAGATGTTTCTGGGAAGGGTCCATAGTTTTCATTAGACTTTCAAAGAGTGTCCATGATCCAAAAAGGTCAAGTTTTCTACACAAAATGAATAGCAAGTGTTAACACTGCAGCGTGTCAGGACAGATGACTTCAAAATCTTCTCTATCGGTGTTTTCATTCAGCTTCACTACTCACCTCAGGTACACACGCTCACGAGCAGAGCTCTCTTACAAACACCAAGGAGAATATATGCACATGGATTCCCACCTTTAGCAGCTTAGCTTTCATCGTGGACGTGATGGTTGTGGGGTTGATAAACTGGAAGGAAGGGGCCGCGTTGTTTGGATACTGCGCAGGGAACTTCACCAGCATCTTGACACGATGGCCGCTGCAGTGCACGGACACCGTGCAGCTCCTGTCCGCTGCGTCCATCTGCGAGGGGCAAAGCGACAACTGTTCTGGAGACAAACCAGGAAGGGTTTGTAGAAGCAAATGGATTTAAATTAGCTAACTGAACATTCTTAGTTCCTGAAACCTCCAATGACGAAGGCAGAATCTCCAAAAACAAATTAATTGGGGAGATGTGGACAACTCATTAATCTTATCACTGATTTCTTTTCCTCTTTTTAAAAATTCATTACTTTTTATTATATTTTTTTCCATTTCCATATATCACCCCATACCCTCTGCCACCTTCACCCACACCCCTCGCATCAATTTTAAAAGTTCAAAATATTCTGACTTAAAAAAAGTTTCATCCTAAAGTTGTGAGGTAGACTGAAACATATTTGTTTTGAGAAAGGAAAATAAAGCAGGAAGAAGTTAAATACCTGACTCAATTTAAAAAGAACTCTTCGGAAAATCCACAGAAATGGACAGATTAGTGGTTGCCAGGGGCGAGGGAGAGCGGAAAATGGGGAATAACTGCTCATGGATAGCGGGTTTCCTTTGGGACGATGAAAATGCTCTGAATTAGACAGTGGGGATAACCGCACAACTTCGTGAATACATTAAGAGCCACTAAATTGTACACTTGAAAAGGGTAAATTATGGTACGTGAATTATATCACAATGATTTTTAAAAAGCACTCCTGGGAAAGGAATCAAGATTTCCATCTTAAACTCTGTCACCAGGTATCCATATTGTTTTCAAACTGGGACAAAGGTGCATAAACTGAGTTGGTATTGACAACCAATTAATCTAAGAATCCTGTATCTCTTTCGATTTCTTGTGCTGCCAACTAGAGAAGACACCTGGGGCACACATATGCAGGAAATCTGGAGACCTGGACTCAAATATTATCTCTTCCACCAAATAGCTGCTGACCTTGGACAAGTCATTTCATCTTTTACTCTCTCCATTTCCTCACAGGTAATGTGGGGATAAAAAGCACTTATTGAAGAGCTATATTAAAGGACAAATGAGATAAATTTGTAAGTGTACACATCCATGCCTACTGTTAACTGAATCTGGGCAAAAGAAAAACTAATTTAGTTTTCAAACTCCTTCATTGAGAGGCTCAATTCTCCGAAGCAAAGAATTTCGATTTCTGCCCAAAAGGAAAAGAGTAAACTTCTCCATGCGTGAAGTAAACAAAGAGGTTTGGTCACCTTCTGTGAATCTATGAATCTAAATCATCAAAGATATAATGGGCCTTAAGGGAAGATTGGACAACAAGGCACAGAAAGGCCTGATGAGTCAGGAGGTTTTGGCTTCCGAACACAGCTCTGCTATTAACTTCACCAGTAACCTTTGCCAAAGCACCGAACCTTCCCAGATCTAAGCATCTTCATACACAGTAAATGAGGCATTGGAGCATCTAAGATTTTAAGACACACAAGCATCAGTTAATCCCTTAGATCACCTTATGAGAAAGCAATATGGTTAGAAAAAAATATCTGCATTTGTAAAACATCCATTTCTTTAGAAAAATCTAGGAAATAAAAAAAATAAGAAGAGAGACTTCTCTGTTAGAGCAGCAGAGCTATTTGCTAGCTGAAATCATAGCTGAAATAGTCCCCTCTCCCAACAAGTGCCGTCTGGGAGCATGAGAGACAATTCATTAAACTCGGGGTACCTCCACGTTCACATTCCGGATCTGCACATTGATCAGGGAGAATTCCTGCTGCAGAGTCTGAGGCAGCCCTGGTTGATCTGATTTCTTCTCTTCCAGGAGGTTGCTCAGGGGGTCTTCCTTTAAGACTAGCAAGAGAGTTCAACTGTTGGCAAACATCTTTAAAATCAAGTTAGAGAACAGCTTTAAGGCATCTTCCACGCCTCTGAAATGTGTAGAGGGCACCTCCTCTACAGCATCCATGTGACCAGTTACCTTCTTCCTCTCCGTGGCCTGAGCCGTGCGGGTGATCTGTGTCTTGGGTGTGCAGGATCTTCTCTGGTTCCGGCAGAAGAGAAATGCTCTCGATGAACTCAACACTATCTAATATGTCATTTGCACAAAGCTGCAACAAAGGGTGGAAGATCTAGGTCTAGAGAGGCCAGTGGAAATGGTCATCATATGTGGTTAGAGTTCTGACTTAAAAATGGGGATCATAAAGGACAAAGATGTCAGCCAAAATCTGATACAATCAAAATAGGTTTTATCTATCGCCAATGCTCCCTGGTTAAATATACAGGAGAACAGACTCTATTATTCTGCCCTGGAATTTTTTCATCCTGTTCATAGTTTATGCAAGCCTCAGAAAACATTATTTTAAATTCTAAGCCTTGATGGAGTTATTCAGCTAACCCCCCAAATTTCATAACCTTAAAAGCATTTAAAGCAAACGGTACATTTTGGAGCAAATAGATTTAAAAGGCAGCAAGGTAATGACAATTGACCAAAATGCTCAAGAATTACTTCGTACTAAGCAGTGTTATGAATTTTATCCAGAATTTTCTATCCATTCTGTATGGACTGCTGTGGGGAAGGCAATACAAGTAACACCTGGTTCTTGCCTTCAAAAATGTAACCACCAAACGAGAAGACAGAACCCTGAGATGAGGCACAGCAAAGCAGTGCGTACCAGGTACCACTGTCATTCATATAAAAAACAGATACCACCGATGGGGCAAAAATTGGAAAAAGCTTCACAGGAACAGTGTCACTGATGGATGTAGAAGGCTCTAAACATTGAGTAAACTTCCTAACCCATTTAGAAGAGAAAGAAATGAAGTCCACGGGCCATTTGCTCAGTGTGCTCCCCACGCCCTCTCATACCAGAACAAAAGAAAAGACATGCAGAGGTTTTTCAGCCTTTCAGCGTTGAATACTGAAGTTGGCTCTTGAGGACCCAAAGCCTCTCTGTGGCACACACAAGCCACTTAGCCAACCAGCGAGTATGTATTAAATACCTACCATGTATCCTCTAACCTCCACAAATACCAAATTTTGTATTTTTTTTTTAAAGTTTCTATTGTATCTGGTTACATTCCTCCACAACAGCAATGAATACTTACCCTCTGCATCTGGGAATCCACCCGCCACATTCTCAAGGTCTGATCTCGGGACCATGTAACCAGTTGGTAGTCCTTGGACCCTAGAAATCACCAAATAAAAATCCTGGAAATTTTTTTGGATTCAATGCCAATTTTGCTACATGTTGCAATGGACTGAGATTCATTTGTCCATCCATCCACTCAACAAATATTTATTGAAAATCTATATGCCCGGTACGGTTCTACAGCATGAATACAATAATCTCTGTCTTTATAGATCTCACATCCCAATGGTAGAAACAGAAAAATAAGTACATAATAAAATTTCCGGTAGTGACAGTGTTATTTAAAAAAATCACAAGATAACAGACTGATGGGGGAGCTATTTTTAGACAGAACTCCCTGAGGAAGTCACATCTGAGCAGAAACTTAAATGAAGTGAAATAATAACTAGCAAATTAGCAGGTGAAGAGTGATGCTGGGGTTTAATGTCACATTAAACTTTCACCTCCACAAATGTTCTTCTTTTATGTGCTCCAGAGGAGCTGGGGACGAATACAATTTTTGTAAAATGAATTGTTTTAAATGCATCATGATATCTTACTGTTTAATTTTTGGTAAAAAGATGATGCATGCATCTCTTTATAAAATAAATCTTTAATGTTCTGAGTTGACTGAATTATATTTTCACATATTAGGTCTGGTCAAAGGGGAATTATTCTGAAAGGCTCAGAGTGCTTTATGAAAGATCAGGACATGCCAGGGTAATTATCTAGAATCTCCTTCCTGGCCTCTTCAGAGAGTAAAGAATTTAGAACTAATTTTACCCAATTTCCTCTTTTTTCCCCCTGCTAATTCCCTCATTTTATAGATGGGAAAACTGAGGAAACAGACCACGATCTGCCCAAGGTTAATAGGGTGAGTGAGGGACAAAAGCTCCTTTCCTTCTCTGTCATTGCCTTCAATCAGTGTTTTAACAGGTCCCTGTGCAAACCTAGCAAGAAAGAAACTACTGCCTGTTATGGGTCCCACCACCTAGACTCAGGGTCACGTCAACAATTTTCTGACTCCCCATCTGGCCTCTCTTCATGTCCCTGACTTTGAAAAGCACCTAAGTCCTTTCCGAATTCAACTCCTCTACTTGTGCCTTCGGCCCTATCTTATTTCACTTTCAAAGGTCCTTGCTGTCCCACATACTCCCTTCCTGGTATCTTCTCCTTGCCTTCAAATAGAGAGGGTAACAGCCTCTGCCAATCACCCTAGTTGATGCCTTGCCTTTGAAGCCTACTTCATTCATGAAACCAGTTTCTGCTGCCTCTGTTTAGCTACCTTACAATCTAGCTTTTATTCTCAATCTGGTTTCGGAACTCCTCTCTTGGTGATCATGAGGCTTCCTATATGCACAGTTAAATGTTGGTCCCTATTCTGCATGTTAATCCTTCAGCAATACCTGACACCAGGGACTGCCACTTCCCTTAGGAGGCTCCCAGTCCCTTGACCACAACGTGCTGATTCCTTCTACCTCTCTGAGAGCTCCTGCACACAGTGAAAACCAAAATCAAGGTCTGAGGTGGTCTGATAAAAACAAAGACGATACAGCCATAAAAATAAAGAGTAAAATACAGGAATGCATGAAGGATGATTACATTCACAAAAGGTTCAAAAACAAGCAAATCTAAACAATTCTGAGGAATGCAACAATGGGTGGTAAAACTAAAAAGAAACAAATCACTATCATAATAAGTGTTAGGACAGTGTTTACTTCTCAGGGAAGAGAGGGGATTTTAATCAGAAGGCTTTTGGGGGTTCCAGCAATGTTCTTCTTCTTGACCTTGGTTGTAATTACATAGATTTTCACATTATAATTATTTTTTTATACTGCGTTTTATGCAATTTTCTAGATGGATATTTCACAATAAAAAGGAATTTAATAAAACACCTATAACTTGTACGCAAAACTTCACTACTGGCTGGACAGTCCCCATCTCCACAAGTCACCCGACTGGCTTGTAGACATAGATAACTGAAAATTGGTTGCTAACAACTTTTTCAATCCAAATCTACAAGCCAACCTCTCCGTGCCAGACAGTGGGGAAACTACATTATCTGTTCACTAGGGCAAAACGCATGAAAATAAGGTGAAAGCCAAAGTCGTGCATGCAAATTAATGGCGTAAAGACCAAGCAGCCTCATGTTTCTAGAAGCAAGAGAAATTATGGAAATAAAGATGGGAAAATTAAGAGGATGATCAAAAGGGTCCTTTCAAAAACAATTCTGGGAGTCAACAATTTAAAAAAAAAAAAAGACTTAATGGATGTTGTTTAAAAAAAATCCTGGAACAGGTTTATGAAGGCCACAAACGAGCTAGGGTAAGAGGATAACTGCCCCAGTCCCAGGTCTACCAGAGGCCGCTCCTGGGCTCTGGACAAGTCACACCACTCTACTGCCTGGCTTTCCTTCCATAATAGGGAAAGACCAAGAAATACAGTTCTGCTCTGTAAAACACTGAGAGAGCATGGCAAGGAGATCTCAAGAAAAGAGAGGCTGCAATTAAATTCGCATGGTGAGTTGGTGGAAAAAAACTGAGGCAGAGGGCTTTCCAACTCCCGTTGTATTTCTGACCCTGCATTAGTGAGGGCTGGCTAATTAAGCTGCAATAACAAATAACCCCCCATCTCAGTAGCTTTAAAGCAAGGATTTCATGCTAACTCTCTACCTCTACCTCATCCTCACTCCTAACCAGGGTATTTCCACCTGGAGTTTCTCCAGCTGCCATGGCAGAGGCAATGAGAGCATGTAATTGCACACTGGCTGTTAATACTTCAACCCAGAAGAGACCACATGATGTTTCATGTTTCATGTACAAAGCATGTCATTGGACCAAACTTATCTTCAAGGGGATGGGAGGTAAAATATAACTATATGTTTGTGATGACATTGGGAATATGTGGTGGGCAGCGATGGCCTCAGGTCTCTCTAATCAACAGAGTGGCAAGGGGTAACTGCCAAAAGCTTCTGAGGGCAGTGACCCCAGAGTTTTCAGCCCCAGAAATGATCCAACAGCAGGTCTATCAATTTCTTATAGATCTCTTCCACACAGCAGAGACTACACTGTACTTAAGAGAAGAGGAAACTTAGGAGAAGACTGACAGCCCACACCTTCCTTTATTTAACTGTGATTAGAGGCAGCAGACCCCAGAGTCTCTCTTCCAAAACCCAGCCCTGTTTCTACACCCTGCTCACTGGATCACACAGCTGGGTGTAGATCCCTGGGAGCTGCCACGGGACAGGCTCAGAAGGAAATCAGGCGGCGGTCCTAGCTCGCACTCACCTTCCTTCTGCTTCCTCCACTGGAACTCCAGAACCACGTCGTCGTGCCCCACAAAGGTATGGACTGGGGTGTTCAAGTCAAAGACATTCCACAGGAGAAGACTATTCTCCCTCCGCAGCTGGGGAACCATCACAGTCACTAATCCGTTGCTGAAAGGCTACAGCAAGAGAGGGGAAAGCAGGTAATTACCCCGGGGAACAGGTACTGCGGTAACTGAGTTGGAATTCTTTCCTGAAATAAATTGGAGGATGGAAGGCCCCAACCCAACTGGGGAAAATTTTTCCAAATATCAGAAGGTGACCATCACATCAACTTTTTCTTTGCTTCTGGAAGGGACCACATCAAGTTAAAAAATAAATAAATAACTAAATAAGGATAAGCCAAATACTTGAAGAACTTTTAAAATCTTTGAAATAAGCACATGGCTCCCTTGCACACGGGAACACACTGTTTCACATCCTAGCCGCACCCCCAGAGCCGCCTCCATGAGCTGTGGCGCGCCCTCCCGGAGCGCGCTGCAGGGAAGGCCGCAGCAGCCGGCATAATTCCTGTCTTGTGGAAGTGCACGGGGTGGGGGGTGGGGGGGGGGGGGGGGGCGGGGGGCACGCCATCCGCACGAAGCACGCCCTTCCCACTGCCCCCAGCACCACAGCTATTCAAAAAAACCTTCCAGTTAGTTTGAGGTCTGACAGGTTTTACTTACTGACACCCAAGCTGCTAGGTAGCTAAGAAGCCCATGTGACTGAGTGACTGACTGTTCTTTAAGGAATAACCCATCATCACCCAGGAGCACATTTACCAACCTCCCCTCATGGCAGCACTCCTGGACTTCTCTGTTTATTTTTTTAAAGCAAATATATTAATTCAGAGAAGTATTTCAATTCATAAGAACAAAGGCATCATGCTAAGTGAAATAAGCCAGTCACAGACAGACAAGTACCATACAATTTCACTCATATGTGGAATCTAATGAACAAAATGAACTAACAAACAAAATAGAGAAAGACTCGTAGATAGGGAGAACAAGACCGACAGCTGTCAGGGGGTAAGGGATGGGGGAGAGGAGGGGTTGGGGAATTGGGAGGGGGGTGAAGGGATTGAGCAAAAGAGAAAAAAAAAACAACTGTTGCTGACAAGTGTTCCCAGATGCAAAAGCCACTTAATACCCAACTGATCCTCTATGCTCCACAAAGCCCTGGGGTGACAATTTAACGTATACAGGTAGCTTTATTCATCCCTGTGCTCCCTTTCAAATTGACTCTAAGAGAAATATATTACCTCTGATCAGAGCTATCAATTTGGTGATTGACAAATTGTTTGGAGGTTGATAACAGCCTACCCCCTATATTCATAGCATTTTGTGGCTTATAATATATACTTTTTTCAAAAGGAAGGCATACTGTGCATGTAGTACTAAATGTCACTGAATTGCTCACTGTAAAATGGCGGATTTTATCACAATAAAAAAAGCAGGCATCATAAAAATTATTATTCATATCTTACAAAGGTGAAAACCACTGCTCAAAAACATCGAGTTCCTTGCCCAAGGCCACACAAATATTCGATGTCTCACTGCAGCATTATTCATAGTAGCCAAGATATGAAGACAACCTAAGTGTCAATCAGTGGGTGAGTGAATAAAAATGGGTATCTACACGCACACACGCACACAATGGAATATTATTCAGCCATGAGAAAAAAGAAAATCCTGCCATTTACCACAGTGTAGATGAATCTTGAGGGCATTATGCTAAATAAAGTAAGTCAAAGAAAGACAAATACTGTGTGGTATCATTTACATGTAGAATCTAAAAAAAGCTGAACTGAGCTCTGGCTGGGCATAGCTCAACTGCTTGGAGCGCTGTCCTGATACTCCAAGGTTGTGGGTTCGACTATCATCAAGGCACATACAAAAATCAATGAATTGATGCATGAGTGTGTGGAACAAGAAATCTCTCTCTCTCTCTCTCTCCCCCCCCCTTCTTCCTCTCTCCTTCCCTCCTTCCCTTCTCTTTCTCTCTAAAATCAATAAATAAAAACTTAAAAAAAAAAAGGCTGAACTCACAGAAACAGGAAGTAGAATAGCAGTTACCAAGGCTGAGGGGTGAGGGAGAAAAAGAGACACTGGTCCGAGGGTACAAACTCCCAGTTATAGGACCAAGCTCTGGGACTCTAATGTACAGTACAGTGATTAAACATAATAATACCGTATTATATACTTGAAAGTTGCTAAGAAGTGGTAATTATGTGATGGAGGTATTAGCTAATGCTATGGTGGTAACTGTTTTGCAACATGTATCAGAGATCAACATGCACACTTTGAACGTACACAATGCTATATGTCAATTACAGCTCAATAAAGCTGGGGGGGAAATGAAGTGGCATTGCTGGACCCAAAACCCAGGTCTTCTGAGTCTAAAGCCAGAGCTCTTCCCACCACAATCCACTGACCACACGCCCCTCCGCCCTCGGCTTCCATCGCACTCCCCTCCGGTCATCGGGGCGCACCCTCGCGCTGCCCGGCCTCCCAGCCTAGCTACGGTTAGCAACGCTAGGGCCGAGTCTTACCCAACTTTACAAGGGCAAACTTCTACGTACAATAAAAAACACCTTCTATGCCACCATGACCACCTTTGTCCCACCCCTAAATCAAGACAGAAAGAGAAAACAGCCTCATACAGTAAATAAGAAGTGGTCCCTGGGCCCTTGAGCCCAGAACACGGAGACGGAAGTTCCCCAGTATGAGACAGGTGTCACACTCACAGTGTATCTGGCCTTCCAGACAGGCACTTGGCAAGGGAGAATATTGAGGTATTTCCGAGGTTGGCGGTAATCCCAGAACTGGAAGAAAGAAGGATAATTGTGAAATAAATGCCATTAGAAATCCCAACTGTTGCCCTGACTGGTGTGGCTCCGTTGGTTGGGCATCATTCTACAAAGCAAAGGGTCCCCAGTTTGATTCCCAGTCAGCACACATGTCTGGGTTTCGGGTTCACTTTTCAGTGGGGTTCATACAAGAAGCAGCCAATCAATGTTTCTCTCTCACATCAATGTTTCTCTCCCTCTCTTTCTCCCTCCCTTCCCCTCTCTCTAAAAAATAAATAAAATCTTAAAAAAAAAAACCTCAACTATTGCAATAAGAACTCAATGCATTTTGTCCTCTAAAGCAGGGGTCCCCAACCCCTGTTAGCAACCCAGCCACACAGGAGGTGAGCAGAGGTGAGTGAGCAAGCAGGTTCCTGGTGCCAAAAAGGTTGGGGACCGCTGCCCTAAAGGTCCATTTCAATAGTGCATCTCAGTTGGCCCCCACAGCCACGCTACTGGGACAGAGACAAAGAAAACCTCCATTTTCCATTTATAAACATTCCAGGAGAATTTCTGGACTTCATGAAGACCACCTTTGCAGTGGGTCCCTGTCAGCCTGCCTGCTAAACAAGATTCTAGAGGAACAGTAAGAGTGGCATGTTTCCAACCTGCATCGCTTTTACACCAAGTAGGGTAATTTAATAATAGCTGAAATGTACGGACTACTTACTGCACTTCGACAGATGTTTAGAACTTTAAGGTTTTATCCCATTTAATCTTTACAACAAGCATAAAATGGGGTTACTAATCTTTTTTGCAAATGGAGAAACTAGATTACTAAGCCATGTAACTTGCCCAAGGTCACACAGGAAAAAAGGTGGCTATGCGACAATCTGCATGCCCACCTACCCACTCACGTACAGTCATTCACCCACTGCTACATGAAAGCTGTGGAACTGGAAGCTGCAGTTAAACAAAGGTGAGCCAGATACAAACTCTGCCTTTGAGATGCCTATGCTTTCAATGGAGAGACAAACACACTTGAGTTCGAGCAGCTGTCATGAAAGCCCAAAATGGCAGCGCACCAAAGGCAGGAGGACCAAGACTAAAACTCTGAACTATGAAGGTACCAAGAAATTATTTTCACCCTGACTGGTTAGCTCAGTTGGTTAAAGCATCATCAGCTCACTTGGTTAGAGCATCGTCCCTACTGCCAAAGCTATGGGTTCAATCCATGGTCAGGGTACATACAAGAATCAACCAATGAATGCATCAAAAAGTGGATCAATTTCTCTCCCTTTCTCAAATCAATTTTTGAAAACTATTTTCAAAAACATGCCCTGGCTAGTGTGGCTCAGTGGACTAGCTGGTCTACAGACCAAAAGGTCTTCAGTTCAATTCCCAGTTAGGACACATGCCTGGGTTGAGGGCCAGGTCCCCAGCTGGGGGCATGCAAGAGGCAACTGATTGCTGGATCTCTTGCACACTGATGTTTCTTTCCCTCCCTTTCCCCTCTCTAAAAGTAAATAAAATCTTTAAAAGAAATTTAGAAATAAAATTTAAAAATACATTTTCAAAAAAAGAGACAGAAGCCACTTTGGAAAAGTTTGGCAGTTTCTTTAAAACTTAAACACACACCTACTCTCTATAAGACCCAGCAATCCCACTCCTACATATTTGTCCTAGAAAACTGAAAACTTCTATTCACAGAAAAATCTATAAGTGCATGGTTAGAGCAGCTCTATTCACGATCACCAAAAACTGGAAACAGCCTAAATGTCATCCACTGAGTCAACAGACAATAAATTATAGTATAACCATACAATGGATTACTACTCAGCACTAAATGGTATATGAACTATTGATTCTTAAAACAGCTCGGACAAATCTTAGAGATGTTATGCTGAACGAAAGAAATCAACCTCAAAGAGTTACATACTGCATGATTCCATTTTGATGACATTCTCGAAAGACAAAAAACTACAGCAATAGAGAACAGACCCACGGCTGCCTGCAGTTAGGGGCTGGAGGAGAGTGTGACTATAAAGGGACAGTGTGCAATAATTCTTCTTCCTTCCTTCTGACAACTCTTTTTGCCAAATTCAGGCCCCATATCCAAAGTTATAAAATTGTTAAGATTCCTTTTCCGTCTATACGACTTCTGGGTTTCCCAGATGGCCACAGGGTAGAGTATAGCTTGCTCCCTCAACTTACCAAAGAAGGGAAACTAGAAGTAACTAGGGGTGCTTAGCAGTCTCTAGGTTTTTGGATTGCAGGCCAGCGCTCAATCCACTGAGCCACACCAGCCAGGGCTTCCAGGTTTTTGATTAGTTTAATACAGTGCTTTCCTGCTATCAAGTCCAACAGAAGTGAAAAACTAGCAAATAAAAGGAAAGTTCAACCTCCCTTGGTTAATTATTTACCAGTAAAATATTGTTACTAAGAATGCATTTCAATTGTTGACTTTTTCAGGTTAGAAAGAAGTATATCCATTTTCATTTACAAAGACTAACATGACAATTAAGAAAATTAATCTTTTTTTAAAGGGTAGGGGTATAGGGACAAAAACCCACATCCAAAACAAACAAACAAAAAAAAACACTTCTGGCACATAATCATAAATTACAACCCTAGGGTAAGGGTATGGGGACAAAAATCCAAATCCAAAACAAACGAAAAAAAACCCCACTCTGGCACAGAAATGTAAATTACAGCTCGAGGGGATTTACAAACCTCAAGACAGAAGTAAACTTAAGCCTTAGTAAATGATTCTAGTTTTGCTAACCATACCAAAAAGAAGTATGTGCCTATGTAAATAAAGCAAAGCATTAAATTTATGATGCTGAATCACAAAATTGCTAAACAAATTTCTGTGGTCAAATCTCTTGTCCTTCCAGGCAGAGGCCTGGCCACAAAGAGGAACCGTAGAGAGATGTCGGCTCTGTGCCCTGCATCCTTTCCAATAAGGAGGCACATGGCATCCCCTAGTCAGAAAAGAAAAACAAACAAGAAATGCTACACTCTGAAACAGACCAAAAATAATAGGGTCAACAAAAAACATAAAACCTTGAGCATTTCCTGTAAGTTAGACATTCTCTAATAAAACAACTCTCTTCCTGACTTCTGCAATGCTGATGTCTTAAGATGTCATAACTTTGCGGATATATAATCATGTTGAGAAAATTGCTGTTTTTCCACCCCCAATAGACTAATAGTAAACTTGGTAGCCTTAACAATTCTGTGGGCTTTTCTCCTTTATATATATAACTGTTGTGGGGTTTTTGGGTTTTGTTTTTGTTTTGTTCTTTTGCTGAGCCAGTCTTTCTGAAACTTGACTTCCTGGCAACTACTTTGCAAGTAAACTTCTCTTCCTTTAAACACTTTTGTTTCTGACTTCCTTTCACAAGGGGAGAGGAACAAAGTCCAGGAGCCATACAAGATACATGCTACTACATCACTCCTGCTGGTCTACTTATCCCGGTTTACTTGCTCAGCTCTCCAAGATGCACAAGAACCCCTGAAACACGCACACAATGCTAACATCCTATAGCTTTCTTTCAAAGACAGCGCTCCCTCCCAAACACAGCTCCCCAACCTCCCCACTGGGGTACCACTCACCTTGACGGAATTGTCTTGACTAGAGGTAGCAAGAATGTGCTCACTGTCTGGGTGCCAGTCCAGGCCATGGATTTTGGAGAGGTGGGCTGCTAGATATTCCACCGCTGTACTGGGTTTCTGCAAAGGATCAGCACTGTGTGTTGTCAATTAAGGAAAAACTCACTGAAGGTCTACCATACAACTATCTGCTGGGTGCTAAGTGGGGTTGCAAAAATACTACAGATACTGTCTGTATCTTTAAAAAACCACTTTGTTTTGTTTACAACAAACAACACTTATCCAGCTCTCCTTCACGCATGCCCTGTATACAGTCCTGGAGCCTGACTTCTTTCTGCTCCAGCCCCTGCATGGCTTTAATGAAGGACAGGAGATAAGGGGCTCTTTTGCCCTTTAGTATTATGGTCTATAATTCTTGCTCCCCTTGCTCACATTCACCTAAGAAGAGGGACTGTAACATCTGGACAGATCCAACCTCAGTCCTAAGGCTAAAACTACCACTCTTACTGTGACCAAGCCCCCAAAAGAGAACAAACACACATCTCAAAGAAAATAATACACAATTAATAAGCATGTATAAAATGAACAAACTCAAAAGGAAATTTCATAAAAATGCATTAAAACATTAAAAGATGTTTTAAGCTATTAAATTACAAGATATCTGTAACTAATACTCAAGACAGTGAGTCTGCATTTATCGCTGAAAGTGTACATTTAAAATACCACAACGTTTTTGGAGAAAAATTTGATGATTTTTATCAAGAGACTTAAAATTTTCCTTTCTTAAGAGCTTTAGATACAAAAGATGCTTACTCTTGGTGTTATATGGAATACCAGAAAACCAGAAATAATACAAATAGTAGGTGGGGAATAATTAAAATTTTTAAATCAATTATAGGACAGCTATCTGACACAGTATGATGCAGCCATTAAGTTATACTTAGAGATTATAACATGAGGAAATGCATCTTATAATGTTAAATGAAAAAGTATACATGTATATAATACTATGTATATAATAGGATAAACCACAGTTAAAAGAAAAAAGGCAGAAGAAAATAAAATATCAAAATGTTAGGATTTGGCCCTGGTTGGTGTGGCTCAAAGGATTGAGTGCCAGCTTAGGAAGTGTAAGGTCACTTGTTTCATTCCCAGTCAGGGCACATACCTGGGTTGTGGGACAGGTCCCTCATTGGGGGCATGTGATAGGCCATCAATGGCTGTTCCTTGCACATCAATGTTTCCCTCCCTCTCTTCCTCCCTCCCTTCCCCTCTTTTTAAAAATAAATAAAATCTAAAAAAAATGTCAGCATTTGTCTCTGGATAATAGGACTATGAATGATTTTTATTTTCTTTTTTATATTTGCTACAAAGAGCATGTATTACATCTATAATTAATATTAGTCTATGAAGTTAAGACTAAGTCTCCAGAACCAGCCTCCCTGAGTTAAAAATCCTAGCAGCAAACTGTGCCTGAGTTTACTCATCTGTAGAATAGGGATAAAAATAGTACCTACTTTAAAGACTAGTTATGACGAGAAACAAACCAATACACATGAAGTTCTCAGAACAATGCCTGTGCATAATCAATGCTTAGTAAACATTACTATTATCAGGCACACATGAGCCTGAAGGAAATCCAGCACCACCGCGGACACTGCACTGTGAGGGCCTCCGGGGCTCGCTGACACCAGTGCTGCTTTGACTCTAGCAAGTGCCAGAGAAGTGAAACTCATGAGGGTTACAATCCTTCTGAGCGGACGTCCTATGTATTGAGAGCCAAAAATGAAGTTAAAACCTTTTAAACAAAATAGATGAAAGGCTTGCTGGGGGAAGTCAGGGTGGGTAGAGGACCAATGAGAAGAGTGGGAAGGAACAGTCTGGCAGTGTGTACTACGAGATAAAAAACACAGGTACTGTTCTGAAAACCCGGTACTGACAAGAGTTCCTTTGCCTGTGACTCTAAATACAGTCTATAGCACTAGGTATGCACTACAAGTAACCACACATTTTATTTAAACCATTTACTATATTTAAATGCTATGCTAGTGACAAAAGGAATAAAACCAATTGCCAATTTAAGAAATATGGAGGATAGGAAAATGGCGATTACAGCCCTGGCTGGTGTGGCTTGGCGGACGGAGTGCTGGCCTGTGAACTGAAGGGCTGCTGGTTTGACTATAAAATCGCCTTCCCACTAAGAGCCACCTGAGGCAGACAGCTTCGGCCAGCACACCGCTTCCCCGGCAGGGGCTGGCCCCCAGGGCAGCAGACCCCCAATCTCTGCTTCGCTCCCCTCTCTGCTCTACAACGGAAGGACTTGCTTCCCTGCTAGGAGGGAAAGGGAACAAGGCGTCCAGAAACAGAACTGAGACGTTGCAGTCAACACCCGAGTTGGGGCAGTCCCTGAACAAGTTTTAGGAAAACCCAAAAGTAGGTGCTCCCCATGAACACTGAGGACCTCCAGCACCAGGGCTTCACAAAGCAGGAAGCGATGTTTAGAGCCAGATCTTACAGAAGCCAACCGTTCTATGCGTTACTACCCCGTCGTCTGGCAGTCAGATATGGGGGTGGCCCTCTCCCTGCATCATGACTGTCACTGATGCCGACATACCAAGTGTCCAAACACCTTCCATCACAACGGCCATCGAGAGCCCCGCGCCTCTTCCATGCATGTCGGTTACATGAGCCGCTGCAGGGAGAATATATGGTCTGCAGCCTCTTCTGAGGTTGATAGGTCAGCGAGGCTTCTACGGGAGGATTTGTGCCGCTGAGCACCCCATGCCTCAGCGATTTATCCCAAAGATATTCAGGGTGGTGTATGTCCTAGAACAACTAGTTTTCACTCCGCAATCTGGGGCAGTTGACCATCCTAGAAAAGTGTCAGGTCCCCCAGGTCTGCCCTCCTCAGGGATATACTATTATCATCATCTTTACTTTAAAAATAAGGAAATGAAGGCTTGGAGAAGTTTAGTGACTCACCTGATATCACACTTAGGAGGCAGCAAGATGGGACTAACTTCAGTCAGGCCAGGTTCATTTTCTTATGCACTGATCGTAAAGCCTCACTTTCCTATCTTCCTTCAACACCAGTTTGATCAGGAAGCAATGTCACCTGGTACTCTGATCTTAAAATGGCAATTTACGATGCTGCATAGGGCACCCTAGGCTCTCAACACGGGTCCTGCTGCTTACAACATCCTCCTTGTACCCTCTGGGAGGGATTAAAGGCCACCTGGGGGCAAAAGAGAAACTACTCACCCGCTTGTCCCATATCCGTACATCCCCATCATGACTGGTGGCAAGGCAATTTGCATTTTTTTTATTCCATTTGACCTGTGAGGCACCCGCTGCAAAGAAAAATCAGGGGAAGAAAGCTGCTGCTCTCAATCCATTCGGAACCAGAGGGCAGCACCTCCAGGGGGCTGGATAATGAGCTCTGGTTGAACTGAGCACAGAGCCCTTCAGGTTTCTAGAGTGGCACCAACTCCACCATGAAGTGAAAATAAAGCCAACAAATAAGTGGATTAAGTAACACAGGGGAAGAGGATCAGAGTCAGGTAATTGAGGAAATAACCTTGCTTGGGAAAAAATCTATAGGGTGCCTCCAAGCAGCATCAGCAGAAACTGCAGCTTCTTAGAGAGCAGAAGCTGAACGTGGCTCTGCTGGTTGGTAACTGACTCATCACACAACCTGGCTCTTCTTCGTCTCCAACAACCACATTTGCACTTCCAACTCTAAGAGCCTCAGCTCAATGCCTGCTCCTTCCTTTTTATTTGGGCAGGGCAGGGGGCCGGGGGAGGAAGAAACAGTCTTGGAAAAACAAAGCCCACAGCTGAAGCTCTGATGAAAAATAAGCCCCAGGGTTGCCCAACTCTGCCCTCAGAGAGGGCTATGTGCGCCCCCCACGCCCTTCCCACCCATGGCCACTGGCCCTGCATTCAATCAGAGAAAGGGAATACCCAGGCACTGTTGGACGCAGGCCTTTCCCACACTGCAAATACAAACAATGACAGAAGAGCTACTACTTAAGAGAGGAGGCACATTGTAAGATGACAGGAGAGGTTGAGAAATGCGGAAAACTGGGACATGACAGCAATTACAGCTGACTCTTAGAAATAATCAGGTTAAGTTAAACCAGAGCCAAACAATGGTCCTCCCTACCTTTTGTTATTCTGGCTCAGATAATACATGATATTTCTGCTTTGACACCTCTCCCTTTGGGTGGGTGTTTATTATTGGGGACACCACAGCAGATCTGGGCTTTGCAGAGCAACCTGATTCAAGAAGTCTGGACAGCATGACAGATAAAGACTTAGACGCAAACAGGAAGTGGAGTTGAGGTCCAGGAGTTATCTTTCCTTACTTCTGGTGAAGGTATTTGTTTTTGTTTTTTTTTTGTTGTGTTTTTCCTTGAGACACAGGGCATCATAAGTCATGTAAGAATAAGTGGTGGAGACCCCTTAAAATGAAGAAAGGGAGTGTATTACTTAGTAGACCGAGGTCTTGTTTTGTTTTTTTGTAAGAAAGCAGTATCAGCTAGAGGATGAGTAAGAAGAGTCTGCTTGATCTCCTTGTGACAGTTACTTGAAAAGATCCAATAAAAGCCCTAGCCAAGTGGTTCAGTTGGTTGGAACCAAAAGGTTGCAGGTTTGATCCCAGGTCAGGCACATACCTAGGCTGCAGGTTTGATCCCCAGGTAGTGTGTATATGGGAAGCAACTGACCAATGCCTCACACTCTCTCTCTCTCCTTTCCTTTCTCTCCAAAATCAATAAACATATCCTCGGGTAAAGATTAAAAAAAAAATTCCAAGGAAATACTTTTCCCAGTGGGGGATCTGTCAGACCAGGAAGCCTCCCAGAGATTCTGGGAGCCCCCTAATTCAACCTGCTCCACTAAGATCGTGACACCAGGGCCCATCAGCGGTCCCAGACTGTAAGGGTGCTCAGGCACAGCCAACTCTCTGGAGCACACACGGACGTGTTCTTACTGACTCCCCACTCTGCAGGTGTGAACAGCGTGCTTCCAGGGCGTTGGGGGCCAGAGCTGGGGAGCAGCAGTCTCCAGGGCTGTACCTCTCAGGCAACGTTAGATGCGGCTGCTAATAAACATCCGCAAGCCTCTCAGGCGCCTCCTTTCTCCCGGAGCAGATTTACCACCACTGGAAAACCTCATTTAGGTACAAAATGAAGGAAGTCTCCCACTTCTATTTTTCAAAAGGACTTTTAACAGAAAAGAAGGCAATTTGAACAAGTAGGCTGAAAAACAGGACTATTTGTTTTTACAGTTCCTCTATGACCATCTAACTTAGAAATTTATTAAGTGGAAATTACAAAGTTAGAGGAATGTAGTTGAAGCATTTACAGGCCATTTATATTTTTATTCAGTTGCATGTCTTCTGAGACCATGTGTGTGGACTAGTCTACGCCTGAGATTGTAAGTGCCTACAAGTGGCGGGGGCAGCGTGGTGAAAGGGGCACCAGATCAACAGAATTGTTAACCCTTAGCACAGAGGCACAGGTGCTTGATTCCATTTACAGAGCATCCCTTCAGGTCATGCAGACCTTGGTGTATAGAACTGAAGCAGACAGACATGGTCCCTAACCTTGCAGAACAGATAATCCGGCCTTAGATGAGGCGGTGTGGAGATACAGGTGGAAAGAGAAGAATCACGTAATCATTTTGGAGTAAATAGCAAATGTAACAAGAAGATACAAAGGAGCAAGCAGGATTTAAGAGACAGATAATATATGTTTTTATCAAGGATGCCAAAATATAATACTGATGATTGGGCTCCATCACTGTGAGTGAGGTATGTCAGTTCTACACCAAAGTTTGACTCTCAGGAACTGGGGCGAACACTCCACAACAGCCCCAGTGCAGAATCCCAACCACAGTCCACCCCAACTGAGCAGTGAAAACAGGCATATCAGAAAGTAATTTCAAAGACTCAGTGCATCCATATAAATGACACTGTGCACACACACTCAGCACCATTTAGATTGTGGGGAAGCCACAGAACAAGTAACCTGGTTTCTTCAAATAAATAAACTGCAGGAAAAGAAAAAAAGAGAGGGAGAAGAACCCTACCCAATTAAAAAAGATGAGGCATATATCAACCACTTCCAAGTATAGACTTTACTTGGATCCTGATTGAAGTAACTGTAAAAAAAGAGAGAGAGAGACAGACTATTGGGGAAATCTGAATACTGCTTAAATATATATGATGATAAAGAGCTACTGTTAATATTTTTAGGTATGTTAATAGTATTTTGTTAAAGAATTCTTCTCTTGCAAAAAAAATACTTTCTAAAATATTGGTTGATAAAATAATAGGATACCTGAGATTTGCTTCAAAACAATTCCCGAGAGGACAGGGTGAGAGGTGGGACAGTGGGTGGGGACCCAGATGAAACAAGATGGGTGGTATGTTGACAGCTGTTGATGCTCGATTATGAACACAAGGTACTTCATTTTCTATTTTTATATGCATTTGAAATTTTCCCAATAAAAAGTTTAAAAACAAATCAATTTGATTCTTGCCTTAGCATTGTGAAATAAGGTCCTGATCACAACTCAACAGTCCTGACTCTAACTTCTAAGAGCAGCCTGAAGCAAGCCGCGTGCAATATGGGGTTTACGATGTCACTGAGCCACAATGAACCGTGGGGCACAGGGCAGTCAGTGTGAGAGCAGGGATGGAGGGATAGAATAAAGACAAGCCGGGGAGTAAACACTCACCTACAGCAGACAGTGCAATGGTAGGTTTCCTTGTGTCTCTGAAATATAAAAGTCAGAAGTCAAATGCCCAATTCATATGCTACCATCCACTGGATGCTTTCGCCCTCTGCACTTTACTTTCAGTAGGGACCTGGAGTTCAGTGGGAATGTGAGGGCCTTAAAAAGAGCATAAAGAGAAGCTTCTCTTCTGCTCTGGAGCACAGTCCCGTGGACCGAAAGCTCATGGGTTCGATTCCTGGTCAGGGCATATACCCAGGTTGCAGATTCAATCCCCCATGGGGGTGCGTATGAAAAGGCAACCAATCAATGTTTCTCTCTCACATCAATATTTCTCTCTCACATCAATGTTTCTCTCTCTCCTTTCCCCTTCTCCCTCTCTAAAAGCAATGGAAAAATGTCCTTAGGTGACGAATACATACATACATACATACATACATACATACATACATATATAGAAAGAAGAGGAAGGGAGGGAGGGAGGGAGGGATGAAGAGAGGGAAAAAAGAAGCTTGTCTCTCTCCAAGAGATGAACTTTGTCAGTCACTTCAATTGAGGCCAAGTATGAATTTCAAATCATACAGCTGTATCCACAGAAAACAAATTACATGATTCAGCACAGCTTGGGTGACCCCAATGTCAGAGCAGAAAAAGCCAAAATACCTTCCTGATGTCATTTCTCTGAATGGAACAAGGAGGCAGTCATGGAGGCATAACTCTGCAAGAAGCTTCCCAACAGCATTTCAAAGGTGGAATCAAAAACCACTCTGATGTTCACAATAGCCAAAAGGCAGAAGCAACCCAACTGTCCATTGGCTGGTAACTGGATAAACAGAACTGTTACCATACAATGGAATAGCATTAGGCCTTAAAAAGGAAGGAAATCCTGTCACAGGATGCAACATGGATGAACCTTGAGGACATTAAGCTAAGTCAAAAAAGTCAGTCACAAAGGACAAATATTGTCTGATTCCATTTATATGAGGTCCCTAGAGTAGTCAAATTCATAGAGACAGAAAGTAGAATGGTGGTTGCCAGGGACTGGGGAAGCAAGAAACGGGAAGCTGTTGTTTAATGAGTACCATGTTTTAGCTTTGTACGATGAAAAAGTTCTGGAGACCTGCTGCACTACAATGTGAACATACTTAACACTATTGATTGTACACTTCAAAATGCTGAAGGTGGTAAATTTTGTTTTATAACCACAACACACACACACACACGCACGCACACACGCACGCACGCACATGTGTGCAAGAAAAAAAAACAAACCTGTTCCTGGCCCTGGCTGGTGTGGCTCAGTGGACTGAGTGCTGGCCTGGGAAACAAAGGGTCGCTGGTTCGATTCCTGGTCAGGCACATGCCTGGGTTGCGGGCCAGGTCTCCCGTTAGAGGGATATGGGAAGTAACCGATCGATGTTTCTCTCCCTCTCTTTCTCCCTCCCTACTCCCCTCTCTAAAAATAAATAAATAAAATCTTTAAATAAATAAAGCCTACTCCTGGATACCACAGGAGACTTTTGGAGAGGCTCTCCCTACAAATGGAAAATGACAAAATTGGGCAGCACCGTCGGGCTGGGAGGGCCAAACAAGGCAAACCTGCAGCTTATACTTACTATTTAGAAAAACTGAAAAGGAATCTCAGTTCGGTGTCTTTTAATCTTCAAGTTATGGAAACAACTGTTTCAAGGTTAGAGAAAGGAACACCCTACCTAACCTTGCCCCACAGCTCCCTGGGGGTTCTCTTTCTTTAAAAGTTTCTCTCTTCCACTTCCCTGGATTCTGGGCTCCTCTCCTCCCTCTGGTGCTGTTCAAATCTTCACGGAATGCAGGCAAAGTCAGCTATACACACCCTTACTTTCACTCATCTGTCACACTTGTCATACCTCAACATGTGCCTTGTCTTCTACCTATAGTCCACCTTTCAGTGTAAAATATCACAAAACCATTGCCATTTGGGAGCAGAGCAGCCTTGTGAGGGGCAAAAGTGTCCTGTCTGGGTGACTCTACAGACGATACCCTCTAGTTAGTCACGTCTTAACTGCTATGGTAAAGGGAAATTTGCTCTACAGAGAGAGAGGGGAGTAGATGTTTACTAAGAATTTACAAGAGACTCACAGAGAGGAGGCTGACAGCTCTGGGCGGAGGGTGGCGGGGTGGAGGAATCAAGCAAAAATTTAAAAAAAGAGAAAGAATTCATGGGCATGGACAATAGGGTGGTGATCGTGGGGGAGGGGTAGGTGGAGGTAAAAGAGGGTATGGGGGAATACATGGTAATGGAAAAAATACAATAAAAATGTAAAAAATTTAAATTAAAATTAAAAAAAGAGAATCTACAAGGTGCTAGGCCCTGGGCTGGCGCTCTTCACCCCATGAACAGTAACCCCGCCAGGTGGCTCTCAGCCCCTCTAACAGACGGGGAAGTGAAGCCTCACCAAGCAAGTAAAGAGCTGCGCAGATGTGCCTCGTAGCACTGCCTGCTGCGGCAGATGTGCGTCTGAGCCCATCACCACCCCCGCACCGCCACCTGCCACTTCAGTAAACTCCAGCCTGACTTTGAAATGCCAGCGCTAATGTTCTTTGCCAAAGGAATCTCCCTGGCTGCCGAAGCCCACACTGTTAAGCCCATTTTGCAAACCACTGTGACAGGACTGACGTGCCAGAGATTTAAAGCCCTTGGGGACAACCAATAACAGTGAATAGCACCCCCATTGTTAGCCCTCAGGGTGGGACATCTCTGAGGTGGAAGCTTTACATTGGCTCCTAGCAGTCCCCAGTAAGACTAAGTCCCACCTGTTCACACTAGTTCGTGTGAACAATGCGACCTCGACTTGTGGCCTTCCCCATCCTGTCTCTTCTCCACCCCCAAAGGCATTTCTTTCACCTCCTAAATAATGTATCTGCAAAGCATCCTTGTTTCAAGGTCTGCATTTAGAGGACACCAAACTACGACACCTGATCTCTATAATGAAGGTACCAAATCGTGCCACAACCATGTAGTTATGCCTCTTAACTGTTCTTACTTGATATCCCAAATGTAGATGTAGGTGTCCACGGAGCTGGTAACCAGGAGATCTGGTTCAAACACTGCCCAGTCCAAGTCGCTGGGAACACAGAAATAAACAGAACAATGAAGAGAAAAAAATTCAGAGTCTGGTTCCAAAACACTAGCAGATTTAGTCTCTAGTGGCTTCAGAAAGTCACTGTTAATGGCTTCTTAACATGTTCTGGCTGGGAATCTCCAAAGTTCTTTGGGAATGAACAAGACTTAACTGAGCTCCGAAAGAAACTTTCAGCTCCTTCCCCTTGTCATCTCCAACTATAGTACACGTGCTCCCGAAAAAGAAGTGGAGCGTTTCTATTTAAAATACACACACACATACATACACACACACACGCATGCACACAGGCACAAATTGTACAGACGAAACAAAGGAAAATTCTTGACTTTTCACTTTCTAAATCATACTCAGCCACAGGTACGCTGAGTAAACCCAACACCTCTTAGGGCGGTGGCAAACTGACACGTTGCCACATCACTTTCAAGCAGGGCAAGTAGGCCTCTGGTCCCCTACTCGTGCCTTCATTCCTAGAAAGGCGGTTACTCCACAACCAGTTAGCCCAGGCAGGTGGTCTAGCCTTTCCCATCACCTCTTACAACCCCGTCCCCACCTTTACCACCCCTGTACCCCCTGCTGCTCCTTCCCGGAACAAGTTTTCCCCACCCAGAAACAGGCACCCAGGGTACACTCCAGAAGCCAACTGGAAGGCCACGCACAAAAGGCAACCACGTAGCTGGGTAACGGACGGAGACTCAGGAGCCCCGTGTGGTGACTCACAGCTGCAGAGAAAAAAGCAGAAGGCTGCTCCCTGATGTCTCTGCCCCAGGCACCGCCGGGTGTGACCAGAGGGATTCTGCTGGTATAATTTCTGTGGCATCATTTCTCCCTCCTGTGGCAAGAATCGGCCCTAACCCTTACTCTGTACCTGTCTAAGTATTTTCTGGGATCAGAGTTAACACTCCAAGGATGCTGGTTCCTAAATACCAGTTGTTCTTCGCGGTGAAAGCCATCACCTCGTTACAAGCTAACGACCTGTCAGCCACCCAGGGCCAAGAAAACACAGAGAGTCAAGCTGTGGGAGGAGGTGGACGTTTTCATTTCACTCCCCAAAGGACTGTGGCAAAGCAAGGCAGACCAGGGAGCTGTGGAGGGCTCCTGCCTACCTGATCACACGCGTATGGCCTTGTAAGGTTGTGCCAACTTCCCCACTGCCATCTTTCCACTTATAGAGGTCGACCCGTTGGTTACTCTGAAAAGAAACAAGGAAAAGAAGGTAGCTGGTGGTACCTCAGAATATATGCTCTCACCCCAATCTGCTGAAGGCCAAGAAAGGGAAGCCACGTACAAACCAACTTACAGGGCAAAGATCTTACAGACTGAGTGTGTGAGTTACAGGTAATGGAGATGTCCCCAGACCACGGGAGGAGCCTGCTCTCCATTCTGAAGGTCACACACATCTCTCTCACACCAGATTTTTTTTAGCTCACTCTTCCTATTATCAAGTGTCTAAAGTCGATCTACCATACTTTAAAAACACAGAGGCACAAAGAAGGAAACAGAAACACCACCAAAGGGGTGTCCTAGAAAGCAGAATTACACAAGACTCCTTCAATCAGGCCTATATCAAATGTCTTAAAGACTTAAGCAGAAGGTCACAGAGAAAAGGGGCCAGAAGAAACAAAATGTACAGTAGGAAGAAAGAGAGAGAAAAAGGCTTTGATCAAACTACATTTCACTTAAAAATATAAATCAGCAAAGACTCCTTTACTACCATGAGTTTATGAAACACACTGACAGGGAATAAAGGTTACTAATAGACAGTCCGTTTAATAATTTCTGAACTGATAGGTATATAACTAACTTTCATGTTAGCTCAGAGTCAGATGAATGTATAACGTTTTGAGATTTTTATCCTGAAATGCCTGATTCCAATTCTAAATCAGTAAGATTCCCCTGAAAAGGTTAGGATTCAAAATAGCTTCCAGACCTGGCTGGTGTGGCTCAGTGGATTGAATGCTGGCCTGAGAACTGAAAGGTCACAGGTTCGATTCGAAGTGACAGCACATGCCTGGATTGTGGGCCAGGTCCCCAGTTGGAGTGTGAGAGGCAACTCATAGATGTTTCTCTGGCACATCAATGGTTCTTCTCCCTTCCCCTCTCCATAAATAAATAAATAAAATCTTCTAAAAAAAAGTTCAAAATAAGAAATTTCCCTCATTTATAACATTTCCAAAGGGTCTGCTAGTGCCAGCCTCTGAACTAGGCACCCTAGCAAACTCCTCTGCTCTTTCCCACCACACTATACACTACACATCATCATCCATGTCTCATATAAGTGAGACAGTAAACTGAACTTCATTAAAATTAAATACGTATCAAAAGACACTATAGAGAAAATGAAAATAATCTGCAGAACTAGAGAAAATATTCATATATCTGATGAGTGTCTAGTATCAAAAGCATATAAAAAACTATTATAACTCAAAAGCCAAAAAGATAAACAACCCTATGCAAAAATGGGCAAAAGGCGAGAATAGACATTTCTTAAAATATATATATAGATATATATATGTATAAATATATAGCTATAGCTATAGATAGATAGCTAGATATGCAGGAGGGGAGAAAATAAAAGATATGCAGATGGCCGACAGGTGCACGAAAACATGCTCAACATCATTAGTTATGAGGGAAATGCAAATCGAAACCACAGTGAGGTATCACTTTACACCCATGAGGACAGCTATAATTTAATTTAAAAAAATAAAACAGCGAATAGCAAATTTTGGTGACAATGCGGAAAAATTGGAACCTTGTGCATTGCTGGTGGGACTATAAACAGTTCAGTCACTATAACAACCAGTCTCATGGGTCCTCAAAAAATTAAACATCTTTATCATATGACCCTGCAATTCTGCTTCTAGGTATATACCGAAAAGAACTGAAAATAGGTACTCAAAAAAAGTACGTGTGCACACATGTTCATATCAGACTACTCACAAAAGTCAGCCCAAGAGTCCATCAGTAGATGAATGGATAAAAAAAATGTAGTCTCTCCATAAAAATGGAAAATTGTTCAGCCATAAAAAAGAGTGAAGTACTGATACCACATGGATGAAGAAGCCAGACACTAAAGGTCATATATTATATGATTCTGTTTATATGAACTATCCAAAACAGATAAATCCATAAAGACAGAACACAGACTGGTGGTTGCCAGAGTCTGTGAGGAAGTAGGAATGGAGAGAAACTGCTTAATAGTAAGGGATTTTACTATGGGACAACGGATATTTGTAAGCAAGATAGAGGTGGTGGTTGTACAACACTGTGAATGAAGTAAAGGACACTGAATTTTCACTTTGAAATGATTGTCTTTAAAGAAAAAAGAAGGGGGCTGTCTTCCTCACCATTCCTTGCCACTCCTAAACAAACGCAGTTAAACCACTGGACCACGTACCAGGGGGTCAGCCCACACCAGTGTTTCTCCACTGGGGGAGATTTTGCTTCCCCAAGACCTTTGACAACGTCTAGAGACATTCTGGGTTGTCACAATGAGGTGGATACTGCTAAATCTCCTGCAGTTCACAGGACAGCCCCCGCCACACAGAATTACCTGGCCTCACGGGTCAATAGTGCCAAGACTGAGAAATCCTGGACCAAATGACCAGGGACTGAGGGTGAGCAGGGAGCCAAAGGGCCTCAAGGTATAAGCCAACAAAAAGAGCATCCTTCCTAACACGTGTCTAGGGTTCAAGTCAGATAGCCATATTCTTATTTTGGAAATGATGGGGAAGAGCAGCTTTTGGATCCCTCTAAAGCTAACAATGTCACTCTCTTTCTCTTCTCAGACGTTTTCTTCTCACAGTCGTTTCTGATAAAAGACCCAGGCAGTACTGAGAATGGTCACATCCCCTGGACAATAAGAAGTGTTCCTTTAAGTACTGTCCTTCTGGCCCAGCATAAAAGGAGCCAAAGGCTGAGATCCCTAAGTGTCCTAGGAGAACAGAATACTAATAGAGGAAAGATACCAGAGTCTTTTTTCAGTCATGGGGTTCCTTAGAAAAACCTAATAAAATGTATGCATCTTTTCCCTGGAAAAAACTTATATATAAACAGGTACATAAAATTTCAGGGGGCTAACCAATCTAATGCATCCCAATCAAGAAAGAACCTCTTGCTCTGAGGCGAAGGGTGTATGGCATCATATGATCCCTCTGAAAGCAATGAGGGGCAACCACAGCGGGCTCACCAGGGCCCGCGCAGGACGGGTTTCAGAGCCGCTGGCTGGTTACACTGCTGCTCCTGAAAACAGGTTCTCATCACACAGAGAATTGGAGGCATCTACCCGCTTTCCTTGCAAAATCTGGATTAAGTTCCTAGAAACACAAGGTCTGACACCCATGGTACCAGGAAAACCTTTTCATATACTTTTTTTGTCTGCATATCTTCCTTTTAGAACCAGCCACACCTCTTTTCCACTGAGAAATGAGGGTTACATTCTCTTCTCCACGTAGGTCATGTACTTTTCAGCCCCAGATCACACATTTAAAAGCCTTTTTCTTACTCCATAAATAAACTCACCGAAGCTGCAAAGTAGTGCGCAAAGCTGTCATGAGGGTTCCACTGCACAGCTCCAATGTCCCATTTGCTCTGGCGAGAGATCTTGCGGTGACCTTCGAAAGGGGCGTCTAGATTAACGATGTACAGGAACCGGCGGCTAGGAGGACAACATCAACATGATGCCATTATAACAGCATTAGCGTAAGGATAGAAAGCACATTTACAATTACATATGATTTGCAAGCAGTGCTCAAAAACCCCCCAGATATATTTGACCATTTATCTCCTCTGAACGGCATGCGGGTAACAAGAGTAACTCAAGGTGGCCGTAGGACAAGCAGTAGCCCCGCCCCTGTGAGAGCCCACCTCTGGCCGACGTCTCCCTTGCCACATCCAGGAGCATCTGACCTCTTCCCACTGCACTCAGCTCCATCTTTGCCCTTCCCTCATCCCTTCCCAATCCCCCAGCCAGGACAGCAGCTGCTTCCACATTACTCCCAGGACATGGCTTGCGCTTTGGCTGCAGCGCTTATGTATGTAGCAGATCTACCAATGTTAAGGCTCTTGTCCTGACCCAACCGATTGTTTGGAGTACAGACTAAGTCTCGAATATCTTTGTATGACCAGAATCACTAGGCAGAGTGCTTCGCATTCAACCAATAACTGTTAAGTTAAACACATCACTTATCACTTAACCAAATATCCTGTAGAAAATCTCAAATTCCCTTGCAAATCGTCAACCTGAAAAGGAAGCTAAATGAAGTCTATCAGGAGGGAAAGTAATAAACAAAAAAAGAATGTTCTCCCTCTGGGGAGCGCGCCGTGACTTTCCCAGCCCCTCCTCTTCCCCTAGGTGTGTTACCTGCGCCTTTCTGTCTCCTACACTCCAGGGGCCCTTCTTTTGCTTCCGTAACTTGTTTCCTGAGCCTATGCAGCCAGCTGGCTCACCTCTACTACCCCTGTACCTTTCTAAACAAACTTTCTCCTACAATCTGAAAAAACAGCAATAAGGAAAAACCATATTAAGTGTCAATAATGTTCAAGGTTATCAATTAATATAAAGGAACCAAAAACAGGAATATCCTGTGTTCGCTTTGTTTTTTTCTTTTTTTTTAATGAAAAAAAAAAATCCATGGACTTCTAGTCAAGATGGTGGCAAAGGCAGACATGACTCGCCTCTTTGCACAACCACATCAAAATTACAACTAAAATGTAGAATACTCAGAACCATCACTCAGAACCATCATAAATCGATTTGAATGAAAGTCTGACACCTTACAGAATTAAAGAGACCACACCCACTGAGACTGGTAGGAGACCAGCAGACACAAAAATGGCTGGTCCCTCACCCATGTGTGGTGGATAAAAATTTGGGAGGAATATCTCAGGACAAAGGAGTCCCAGCCCCAGACCAGGGTTCCAGTGCCAGGAAGATAAGTCCCACAACTTCTGGCTGCAAAAACCAGTGGGGATTGAGTCAGTGGAAGAAACTGATGGAGCCCCAAGCAGTTCCTCTTGAAGAGCCCACATATGGACTCACCTACCCAGGCTCACTCCTTCTGAGCTCCAGCACTGGGATAGCAGCTTAAAAGGCAGCAGTTATATACAGTGAGAAACTTAAGTGTCTGGTATCAGGGCAAGCAGAGGCTACTGTCCCTTTTCCAAACCCCCACCAACCCACATGGCCAGCAAGCTGATGACATATCTGAGACTCCAACAACCTAACATTGTTTGACCCACCTTGGAGATCCCCAGAGATGCTGCCCCACCCAACTTACAGGCCCATCAAAGATGCTTTTCCACATGAATGGCTGGTTTTGGCTCATGCTTCACAACTTCCTAAATTCTCTCAAACAAGAAACAGCTGGCCTCAGTCAGCCCCAGGCCCAGCACTAGCAGCAGCCAGCCTAGACTCACAGCTTGGCTTCGCCTGGGAATCTCTAAGCCCAGCACAAGTAGCAGCCATCTCAGATTGCTTTATAGCTCAGGCATTGAGGCCCCAGGCAAAACAAAGATGGGGGCTCACCTTGGCCTACATCACCTGCAAAACACCAAAGCCTGCGCACCCAGTGGGCAGCTGGAGCACCACCACCCTGTCCCCGCACAGCTGATACTCCACAGTGGGAGGAGGTTGGTAGTAAGTGGTAACAGCAAAACCTTGCAGCTGACTGGCCTGGGTAAATCCCTCCCATTGATCTGCCAACAGCAACCTAGGCTCAAGTACAAGAGCGTAGGCTCAGCCCACATGAAGGGCACACCTGAAGTACCCAGCTTGTATGATAGGGTGGCTGTGCCACTAGACCCTACCAGACACCTGCTACATTAGGCCAAGTTACCAAGACAGAGAGTCAAAGCAGCTCTAACTAATACATAGAAACAAACACATAGAAACAAACACAGGTAGGCTGCCAAAATGAGGAGACAAAGAAACATGGCCCAAATGAAAGAATGGATCAAAACTCCAATAAAAGGGAATAACGAAATGGAGATAAGCAATTTATCAGATGCAGAGTTCAAAACACTGGTTATAAGGATGCTCAAGGACTTAGTGAGGACCTCAACAGCATAAAAAAGATCCGGTCAGAAATGAAGGATACACTTAATTGAAATAAAGGACAATTTACACGGAAACAACAGTAGAGTGGATGAAGCCTAGTATCAAATCAATGATATAGAACATAAGGAAGCAAAAAACAACCAATCAGAACATGAAGAAAAAAGAATCCAAAAAAATTAGGATAGTATAAGCAGCCTCTGGGACAACTTTAAGCATTCAGACATTCTCATCATAGGGGTGCCAGAAGGAGATGAAAAAGAGCAAGACATTGGAAATCTATTTGAAAACATAATGAAAGAAAAATTCCCTAATTTGGTGAAGGAAATAGACATGCAAGTTCAGCAAGCACAGAGAATCCCAAACAAGATGGATGAAAAGACACCCACTCCAATATACATAATAATTAAAATGCTAACAGTCAAAGATAAAGACTCTTAAAAGCAGCAAGAGAAAAGAAGTTAGTTACCTACAGGGGCGTTTCATAAGACTGTCAGCTGATTTCTCAAAAGAAACTTTTCAGGCTAGAAGGGACAGCAAGAAGTATTTAAAGTCATGAAAAGCGGGTACTTACAGCCAAGATTACCAGCAAAGCTATCATTTAGAATTGAAGGGCAGATAAAGAGTTTGCTGGACAAGAAAAAAACCTAAAGGAGTTTATTATCACCAAATCATTAGTATATTACATGTTAAAGGGACTTTGTAAAGAAAAAGATCAAAACAATGAACAATAAAATAGCAAAAACTACAAATGTATCAACAACTGAAATCTAAAACACAAACTAAGCAAAGAAGAAGAACAGAGACAGAATCATGGATACAGAAAGCGTTTTGATGGTTGCCAGATGGTAGGGGGGTGTGGGGAAAAGGGTGAAGAGGTGAGGGGATTAAGAAGTATGAAGAGGTAGTTAAAGAATAGCCATAGGGATATAAAGTACAGTACAGGAAATGGAGTAGCCAGAGAACCTATATGCATGACCCATGGACAAGAACAATGGTCGGGGGACTGCCTGAGGGAGTGGGGGTTGCTGGGTGCGGGGGTGAGGGCAAAGGGGAAAAAATCAAGACAATTGTAATAACATAATCAATAAAATATAATTAAAAAAAAAAGAAAAAAGCCCTAGCTGGTGTGGCTCAGTAGATTGAGTGCTGGCCTGTGAACCAAGGGGTTGCCAGTTTGATTCCCAGTCAGGGCACATGCCTGGGTTGTAGGCCAGGTCCCCGGTAGAGGGTGCACGAAAGGTAACCACACATTGATGTGTCTTTCCCTCTCTTTCTCCCTCCTTTCCCCTCTCCTTAAATATAAATAAATAAAATCTTTATAATAAATAAATAAATAAATAAAAAGAAAAAATCCTTGGTGTGTGAATTAACATCTCAGCTGCCATCAGCTACGGATTCATTATTAGAGAGCAATCTAAGCCCCTGGATATCAGTGAAGATAGGTAAGCTCAAAAATGAAGAAAAAGATTAATAGTTACTGCTCAGAAAAGATAGGAAATGAAAAGTTAAAATGGCATGGGAAACCCTAGCAGAAACCCTGGGAGGGATGATGAAGGGAGAAGAACAAATGCATAGGTAAGACACGAATTCATTTAACTTCTGAAGCTTCTAAAAGATGCTGCAGAACAAAGACCTCGAAACCCTGGCTGGCTGGCATCTTGCCATTAGAACGAAAAGTGCAAAAAGGCTAAGAGTCAAACATAGGGGTGTGTGTCAACAGGGGAGCTCAGGGACATTCTAGAGCAAATACAAAAAAGAAAATGGGCACTTGAGGAAAAACATGCCCGATTGAACATATGCGTTTATCTTCATTCCCCTCTTAAGACCCACTAAATCAGAGTAAGAACATAAAAGACAGAAACCCACAACGACAAAGAAATGAGAGAGGAAATGAAAAGCAGATGGACAGGTGGTAACTGATCTAGAGCAAAGACGCGAACGCCCAGGTGGCTGCAGGGCGGTGCGTGAGAGGCCCGGAGGCTCACAGTGCCAGGGCTGCTCAGGCGCTGGAGCTCCCGGCTGCGGGAAAGGGAACCGAAAGCCGAACACAACCAAACAAGGAGAACTGTCTGAAAGAACTACGGAGAGGCGTTTAAGGCACCTCCAGCACGGCTTCGCCACCTCTCCTCCTCCCACATAGAGGGTAGGTGATGTGCTTTAGAGAAATTGCTTCAGAGGAGCCCAGGCCTGGGCCAAGAGGCCCAGCAGAAAGCAAGTGATAGGGGCTGTGCTCTCGACAGAACGTGGAGGCCTCTCCCCCTACTCAGCACTCATGGTGCTTAGCCTGTAGTCTTTGGTGACTAGTGACAGGATTCCTCTCAGAAGGAAATGACCAGTCCAAGAAGAAGCAAACAAACAAACAACAACAAAACCTCAGAGGTAATGACAATTAAGGTACCCCCAACAAAAGGGCCTGGTTCCCACGTGATCTCCCTACAGTGAACCCCACCACCTCCACCCACATGAACAGATTCCAATATTCTCTAATACTAACAGCCCAGAGCCCAGAGCATCAGTCACCAGGGGAACCCTCGGAGACAAAGACCAACACAATCAAAAGAAAGAAAAAGGAAAGGCAGGTAGCTCAGAGGAAAGAAAAAAACCTAGAATTAACATTCTCAGAGAGGTAAAAGAGGACAATGTAAAGAATAAAGACCAAGAAAGAGCTCTTGGAAAGTAAATAGAGAAATAGAGAAATCTGATAGAAAGGTTGGAAGTTAAAGTTAAAGAAAACTCCCAGAATGCAAAACAAAAAGACCAAAAGAGAATCCACACAGGATATTCAACTAATAGTAGCTCCAGAAAGAATGGGAAGAGGAAATAATGGGGGGAAATATTGAAGACATAATGCAGAAAAACTTATTCAAACTAAAATGCACAGATTTGCAGATTGAAAAGGCATTCCAAGGTGCTAAAAATGGTTTTCTATCTTACTTGGAATGTTGATCACATGGGTGTACATATTTGTAGACTTATTTGAGCTTTTCACTTAAGTATCCACTTTACTACACATATTTTAAAGTTCCATATAAGAAACAGAGGCCCTGGCTGGGTAGCTCAGTTGGTTAGAGCATCATCCCAATACACCATGGTTGAGGGTTCACTATCCTGGCAGGACACATACAAGAAACAGCCAATGAATGCTTAAATAAGTACAGCAACAAATTGATATTTTCTTCTCTCTCTCTCTCCTCCCACTTTCTCTCTCTCTCTCTAAAATAAATTTTTAAAAAAGGAAAGAAAGAAAATGAAATGGTGAACTTCATGATCATGTTGAAAAATAATATGGTTGTACACATCATAACAGGAACACCTGCACAATTCCATTTACATAACCTCATTCTCTCCTAGAATGCTACATCCACATTAGTGAATGTTGAGAAGTCTAACATTTGAGAGACAGATAGTCCAGAGCATCTGAGTATACAAAGACTGATGCCAAGTATATGTTATGATTCCTTTTTTTTTAAAGATTTTGTTTATTAGAGAGAGGGTAAGGGAGGGGAAGAGAGGGAGAGAAACATTGATGTGAAAGAGAAATATTGATCAGTTGCTTCTCACACATCCCCAGATGGGGACCTGGCCCACAACCCAGGCATGTGCCATGACTGGGAATTGAACCAGCAGCCTTGTGGTTCTCAAGCTGGTACTCAATCCACTGAGCCACACCAGGCAGGGCGTAGGTTATGATTCTATGGTTTAGATAAAATAAGCAATAAAAAAGGGGGGGGCCCTGTAAATGTCCACACATGAATGTAAAAAGCCATACACAAAAGTCATCACAGTGAAAATTTCACACCCACTAGAGATAAAGATAATACTAGAGGCAAAGACAAGATTTGAAAGCTTCCAAAGAGGAAAAAAAACAGATCACATATAGAGTCCAGAATCAGAATGGCATAAAACCTCTCAGCAATAACTTAGATAAGGAACCCCAAATAATTTTCAACCCACCAGTTGTTACATGACTATATTAGAAGGGGGGAAGGGCAGGGGTGTGTGTGTGTGTGTGTGTGTGTGTGTGTGTACACACACACACATACATACATACACACACACACATGTTAAATCTTCATCTTCTGTTGTAATAAGTCAATTTGTAATGTCTACAATAGATTAATTGAGATATAATAGGAAATGTATACTATTTGGAAAACTGGAGGCAATGTTAAAAAAACAGCTAAAAATGTCTCCAGGAGTTGCTTCTGGTGAGTAGGATCAGGAGTGGTGAAAAGGCAAGGCTAGACTCTACTGTCTGACAGTATAAGCCTTGTAATGTTTCTTGACTTTTTAAACTAAATTTTTTTAAAAAGCTTAAAAACTGAGTAGGAAATTAATATAACATACCACTGAATTGTACACTTTGAATGAGTGAATTGTATGGTATGTGAATTATAGCTCAAAAAAGCTCTTTTTAAAAAAGTGAATAAGGCCCTGGCCAGTGTGACTCAGTTGGCTGCAGTGTCGTCCCATAAACTGAAAGGTCATGGGTTCATTTCCCAGTCAGGGCACATCCTAGGTTGTGGGTTTGGTCCCTGTAAGGGCATGTTTGACAGGCAACCAATTGATGCTTCTCTCTCTCATCAATGTTTCTCTCTCACATCGACATTGCTCTCCCTATCTCTCTCCCTCCCTTCCCCTCTCTCCAAAATCAACAAGAATGTCCTCAGGTGAGGATTTTTTTTTAAATGTTATTTACGGGAGTAGGGAGGGGGCAGAAAAGAGACATACCACTTTCTCCTTACCTATGCACCCAATGTGACACAAGAAAATGGTAGCGTTAATTGTCCCTGGGAGGGGAGTCAGAGGGAAGAGGGAAACTTTTTTTCATTGCATATTCTTCTGAATTATTGAAATGTTTGCTACGTGCTTTTTTTTAAGGTAAATTAAAACATGATTTCAAAATAAAATAATGAGGTTAACAGAAAATACTTCATTGGTTTATAAATGCATTCATAAACAACAAAGTTCACTAAAATACAGATGCGTTGAGAGGTAGGGGTATTAATCCAGAGCACTATAAAAGGAGAGGGGACTCTGTCCATTCACTGTTACCACACTGGCACAATGTTAGGAAAATTAGCAAATTCAGGGATGGTCCTTAATTGTCAGAATCTCACAATTTTTGAGCAAGAAGACACTACAGAAATTAAGTAGTTCAATTTACTCATGATGAAATCAAATTCCTTCTTGAGAAAAGCAAGCCTAGCGAGGCCAAATGAAATGTCCAAGGGATCGTAATTAATGGCAGTGCCAAACGAGAACCGGGATCCCTTCTATCTTAGTGACTACCTGTTAAACTGTACCAGCTGGCACCCTTCTAAAGAGTCTGGGCAGTAAAGAGAAAACTGCAATTTCAAGACCAAACTACCAGTTACTAAAATTTCAAAGGAATTGTATTGCTTACTTATTAGGGCAGAGACAAAAATAACTGCAAATAATCCCTAAAAGTATCCCTGAGGTCACGAGGGTAGCAGAGCTCAACTCTATGACCATAACCCTTAAATATATGAGTGTTTTTCAATTTCCCAGAAACCTCTTAATTTGCTATTTGTTCCTGGAAGTCATGGCAGACAAATAGCAAGCTCACTTACCCAGAAAGCACTGCATGCTGCCCCAGACAGTCCACAGACATTGCAGTGGCCTGTGAGAGAGAAAACAGATTCAGTTCTGTGAGCAAAGCCAGATCAAGTTGGAGAGGACAGGTAGGTAGTCAGTCACCATTGGGTCTTCCTCTTGCCATGGCCAAGGCAGTCCCCAGCCAGCAGGTATCACTAGTTCTCTAGAGTGGATACTTCTACCCCCTTCTAGTTCTCATCCAAATCTCATATTTAAGCCCTGGCCAGGAAGCTCAGTTGGTTAGAGCGTTGTCCTGATACACCAAGCAGGTTCAATCTCCAGTCAGGACACATATAAGAATGAACAAATGAATGCATAAATAAGTAGAACGAATCGTTGTTTTACTTATTCTCCCCCTCTCTAAAAAACATTTTCGATCACTCTCTAAAAAAGAAAAAAAGATCAAAAAATAAATTTTTTTAATAAAAATTAAAACATTGTAAAAAGCCAAAAGACATAAACTGGCATTTCATAGAAGAATCAAATTGCCAATTAAACATATGAAAAGATACTGATCTTCATCAGTACCAGGGAAATACAAATTAAACCCAAATATGATAAACCATTTCATATGCACTAGATTGGTGGAAATCTGTTAGATGTAAGGACAAGAGCTTGATGTGGACAGGAATTTTTGTCTGTTTTGTGCATGGCTTATCTTAATCCTTTCAGGCTGCTATAGCAAAATACCATGGACTTGATGGTTTATAAACTACAGAAATTTATCTCTCACATTTGTGGAGATTGGGAAGTCCAAGATCAAGGTGCTGGCTGAGTTGGTGTCTGGTGAGGACTCTCTTCCAAGCCCAGCTGTAACCTCATAGGGTAGAAGGGAAAGGGAGCTTTCTCTGCGCAAAGGGCACAAATCCCATTCATAGGTGCTTCACCCTCAGGACTTAATCACCCCCAAAGGCCCCACCTCCTAATCCAAAACCTTGGGTTTTAGGTTTCAACATATGATTTGTGGAGGGATACAAATATTCAGGCCACAGCACTGCTATACCCACAGTATCTATTATACTATAGATTCTCAATAAAGAACTGCTGAAAAGATGAGAAATTTAAATATCTGATAATCCCAAGTACTGATGAGGATATGGCCCAACAGGAATTTTTTAAGCACTGCTACTGGGAATATAAAATCTCAATCAAAACAACTTAGCCTTTGCTAATACGGCTGAAAAATATGCACATCCTAAAGCCCAGCAATTCTACTCCTATGTAAATACCATGGATATATATCATCATCTACAAAATCAAAAAATTGTAAACAACCAAATGTCCCATGACAGAGGGATAAATTGACTGTGGCACAGCTGGGGAATAGTACTTCATAGCAAATTTAGTAAACCACAGGCACGTCAGTCAACATGGATGAACTTCAAAAATAATGTAGGGGAAAAAAAAAAAGAAGTCACAGAATTCATATCATATGACACCGTTTAAATAATGGTCAAGAACTAGCAAAATAAAACAAAGTATTACTTACATTTACATGTATGTGTGATAAAACTACTTTAAAAAGCAAAGAAATAATTAATCCAAAATTCAGGACAGTCATTGCCTCTAAAGGGCAGTAAGAGAGGGACATATTCTGGAGTATTAGTTATTTCAGGCTTCAAAATAACTAAAGTGGCCTATTCCTCAAGGTGTGTGGAGGGCACATTTTATTGTTTTTCTTTCCATGGTACAACATCACTGATACATAATAAATAATTTTTAAGGAAAAACATTTTTAAATATTTAAAAATGCCTTGCAAAGACTAGACCACAATATGAAGAAGTGAGAAAGTTTGCTTAAAAAACTGTGAAAATCTTAGTAGAATTTGTAAGACCACAGGGAAAAGAAACTGTATATTAGCACTATAGACTAGCTGATAAACTAGCTTCCTTCAAGGGCACAGCTTAACAATTCTGAAACCACATTTAAGCAAATGGATGGAAGGTGGCAGGAGCCAGGTCTCTGTTAGAGCGGGAGGTTAATGATAAGCAAAGGGTGGAGGCCACAACGACCCATGTGAAATGGAGGAGAGTTAAAAATATAAGTATAAACTGATGTTCAGCTAAATGCAGATAAAGTTGGCTATGTACAGAAATATTTAGATATATGTATATACATGGGTTTGTACACGTATATATATTTCTTGCTTTGTCAGTTGAGGGGGCCTACAAGGACACCCCAATAGCAATGAGCACATCTAGCACCAGATCTTGGTTTCTAATATACTTCACCAACCAAAAAAACCAAAGCTCCTTGAAGAAATGGTTAATTTAAGGACTGGGGCAGGAAACATACAGAATGAGAGTTGAGCATCTTACAGTGCCAGAAACTATTTTTAAATTTAAAAGAAAAAGGGGGTATGCCAAAGAACCACCCAGAAGAGCTTCCAGTGGTGAAGGCTAGAATAATTTGGGCAAGAAAATAATGGGATTATAATCCAAAGTATAAAATAAATATCTATGAATTCATACTGATATAAACAAAAAATTCAATAAATAAATAAATGAGGGAGAATAACTCCCGTCTCTTTACGTATAGGCTGTATACAGAGAGCATTTTCCAAAGAGTAAAGCAGTTCCCCCTGATCCATAGGGATATGTTCAAGATCCCCAGTGGATGCCTGAAACCATGGAGAGTACAAACCCTCTATGTACTATGCTTTTTCTTATACATGCATACCGATGACAAAAAAATTAATTTCTAAATTAGGCACAGTAAGAGATGACAAGACTAATAATAAAATAGAACAATTATAACAATATACTCTCATCAAAGTTACATGAATGTGGTCTCTCTCTCACAAAATAGCTTATTGTATTATACTCACCTTCTTTTTTGTGATGATATGAAATAATGCCTACATGATGACATGAAGGTAGGTTAATGACCTAGCATTAGGCTACTGTAAGGGTTACCTGAATACAGGCCCTGTGATACCTCCACAGTCTGGTAACAAGAGGGCTACTAAGTGACTAACAGGCAGGTAGCGTATGCAGCATGAATACAGTGAACAAGGAATGATTCACACTCCAGGCACGATGGAGGGGGCAGCGCAAAATTTAAACATGGTACACAGAAAGGCACCAAATTTAAAACTTACCTATTGTTTATTTCTGGAATTCTCTATTAATTTTGGACCACTCTTGACGGCAGATAACTGAAACCGTATAAAGTAAAATGGGGGGGGGGGCTACTCTATCACACAGACAAAGGGCAAAAAGAATATGGTTACAGTAGGGAAACCTGACAAGCACTACCTCGGCCAGGTGACCAAGTCACACCAACAGTGACATGTTCACAGTGTGTACTCTTGATATTATGTGACGAGAATGGCACTTGTAAACTCTGGGGTATTCCTCCAAAAAAAACCATAATCCCAGTCCAATCATGAGAAAAACATAAGACAAAACCCAACTGAGGGACATTCTACAGACTGTCAAGGTCATTAAAGACAAAGAAAGTCTGAGAAATTATCCCAGCCAAGTGGAGTCAGAGGAAACATGACCACTAAATACGATGTGGTATTCTGGATGGATTCCCAGAACAGAAAAAGGACATTAGGTAAAAACTAAGGAGTGCTAAGTAAAGTATGGATTTTGGATAATAATAATATATCAATATTGATTAATTGCAGAAAAGATAGCATACTAGTGTAAGATGCTACTAATAAGGGTACAGGTATATGGAAACTCTATGTACTGTTTCCAATTTTTCTATAAACCTAAAACTATTCTAAAATAAAAATTTAAGCCCTGGATGGTGTGGCTCAGTAGACTGAGTGTCATCCTGTGAACCAAAGGACTGCTGGTTCAATTCCCAGTCGGGGCACATGTCTGGGTTGTCAGCCAGGTCCCCAGCTGGGGGCACGCAAGAGGCAACCACACACTGATGTTTCTCTCCCTCTTTTTTTCCCTCCCTTCCCCTCTCTCTAAAAATAAATAAATAAAATATTTTCTTAAAAAAATTTTAAATTTTATTTTAGAGAGAGAGGGGAAAGGGGAAAGGAGAAAGGGAGGAGGGAGAGGGAGAGAAACATCCATTTATTGTTCCACGTATTTATGCATTCATTTGTTACTTCTCGTATGTGCCCTGACCAGGGATCAAACCCATAACCTTGGCATGCCAGGATGGCACTGTGACCACTGAGCTACCCAGCCAGGGCTTTCCATTTAATTGAGTTTTAAAATTTATTCATTCAACAAACATTTTTTGAGCGTTGTTGTATACCAAACACTATTCTAGGCACTAAGGTTATGGTAGTCAACCAGTCTCCACCCTCAGGGAATGTACACTATAGTAGGGGACAAATATGAAAATAAACAAATGGTGAGTGAGAGGAAAGTGGTGCAAGGTGTGATCTGAGACAGAGGCAGGGACCAGCACACAAAAGAATCCAAAAGAAGGAACTTATATTCTATTTTAGGTACAACAGGAAGCCACTGAAGGATTTTCATCAAAGAAGAGATACGAAGAAATTTATGTTTTAAAAAATCACCTTGAAGAAAAAATAAATTAAAAAAAAAAAAACAGAAAAGAAAATCACCTTGATTTTCACAGCTTTAATCATAATTGCCAAAAACTACCTAAATGCCCATAAACAGGTGAATGGAACCACAAATTGTGGTCTATATATACACTGGAATACTATGGGGCAGTAAAAAGCAATGGATTAACAGATACATTCAACAACATGAATGACTCTCAAAAGCACTAGGTTAAGTAAAAGAAGCCAGACTCAAAAGGTGACACACCGTATGTTCCATTTGTTACAGAAATCACATCAGCAGGCTGCCAGGGGATGGAAGTAAGGGAAGGAGGTTGGCTACACAGGGGCACAAGGGAGATTTTTAGAGTAATGAAAATGTTCTGTATTTTAATTGTGGTAACTACAGGACTACATACATTTGTCAAAACTCAACAAATTATGCACGTAAAAAGGTAAATTTTATTGTACATTAATTATACCTCAATTAACCTGGATTTTTAAAAAAATTATTCTGGCTATGTGGAAGATGTATTGGAAGGGGGCAAAAAGCTGGGGTGCAGAGAGACAAGTCCCAGAGCATGTCCAGCTACTTTGGATGTATAGAGTTGTCACAGGTGCCAAGGTAGAGACATTCAGCAGAGTTGCTATGAATCATTCCTATTGTCATCACAATACTCATATCCTGTAGTATTTTTGCACTTATTGTTGAGATAGAGACCTGTTAACAAGCCCTGGCTGGCGTGGCTCAGTGGACTGAGCACCGATCTGCAAACCAAAAAGATCTGTTAACTGCACATTCTGCCACCTTACCTCTCTTTGAGAGTTCAAACTGTTCAATCTCTACCATACTTTCAAATACCATAGACAATAGCCACAACTGGTTATTTAAATGGCAGTTCATTAAAATTTAGTTTAAAATACACCCTGGTTGGTGTGACTCAATGGATTGAGCGCTGGCCTGAGAACCAAAGAGTCGCTGGTTCGATTCCCAGTCAGGGCACATGCTTGGATTGCAGGTCAGGTCCCCAGTAGGGGGTGTGCAAGAGGCAACCACGTACTGATGTTTCTCTCCCTCCCTCCCTCCCTTCCCCTCTCTAAAAATAAATAAATAAACTTCTTTTTAAAAATGAAGATTCTAAAGTCAAATTTCCTTTCATACACAATCAGAAAAAAAATAAAAATAAAACAATAAATCTCGGTTGCACTAGTCCCATTTCAAGTGTTCAGTGGCCACATCTGTTATCACAGAAAATTCTACTGGATGGTGTTGCCCTAGAAAATTATCTCTACATTTTCTTACAGTGTTAACATTCATTGATTCCAGGGATGACTTCAGAATAGTTGCCAAACAGCACAGGTTTTTCATTATTACAAGGTATTGTTTTATAAAGTGAATGATGCTTGAATAAGCTGTTAAGAAAAAGAGTTTCACATTTCAGGCTGGGGTTTTTCACTGAAAAACCTAAAAGCTTAAATTTTCTTAAATGATTTTTAAAAGAAGCAGGGTGTTTGAAAAGTTTATTGTTTGGCCGTTCTTTTCAGAAAGGCAATATTAAGAGTTTCAACTTTTTGTTTCTGTTAATGAAATAGTTAATAAAATGGGTCCTAACCCCTCTTAATTAGCACCAAATTCAACCACAAAACCAGGCTAATTCCTGCTAAGATGTACCCTTCCAAATGAATAGAAAAATCAGAAAGAACAGAAACTCCCACAAGGAAGATAAATTACCCAATTTACTTTGTCCTCTTGACTTTGGCAACTGCTGTTTTGGTTTACTTATTTGACACTACTTCATAGCATCCTAAAATATGTATCAGCACCTTCTCTGCAGGTTTCTTCAATTACATTTCTATCGAGAAGTAAGGGGAGACTGCCTGGATTTCTATGAGAATTAAAGGGTTTACAGATTAGTAGCTTCCAAATTAGCAGGCTCAGAGGTACCATATATGATTTTTTTTCTTAGTCCCCAGTGAAAGCAATTAACAAGGATAACTGGAATATGGTTCTTTTTCCTTAGGAGTCTGGCACCTCCCTAGGGAGAGCTGGCCTCCCAGAGACACCATGCTGACAGCGCAAAGGGCTTCAGGATCCTTCAATCAGAACGCTGCTGTCCAAGTTCTCCATGGGAACTACGTAGCAGAGAGCACCATAGGGCAAACTTGTCCGTGGCTCAACCACATACTGTCTTCATGGCAAAAATGGGATGGGGTTTTAGAAAGAGGAAACCCCATTACCTTGTTGTAATACAGATTTCCCTTCAGAATAAATCACCTGAGTATCAACACAGTGTGCACCTTGCAAAAGAGCTCAATAAATCCTTGTTGAATAAATGAGTAGAAAGTCTGACACACAAAAGATATTCCAGAAACATTAGTTCAATAAAAAGAGAATCACCCAGCATGCTCTCCTCTCAGGAGCAGGCCTGCACCTTTCCTTCCTACTCTTCTTCCCCAAGGCCTGTTACCTTCGCCTTTCCCTCTCCTAAGTTCCAAGGGCCCTTCTCTTGCTTCTATAACTTGTTTCCTGAGCCCACACAGCCCAGCTGGCTCACTTCTACCACCTCTGTAACTTTTTAAATAAGTGTTCTCTTATAATTTGAAAAAAGAAAAAAAGAAAAAGAAAATAACACAGACACCGTCCTAGGTGCTAGGGAAGGGGTGGGTGGGTATTACATGTATTGAGGAACAACTGTATGATAGGCTCATACAGTAGGAAGCACAGTAGTGTAATGAGGCCAACAAGAGTCCTGGGGCCAGATGCCTGCCTGAGTTCATATCCCAATGGGGCCACATAATGGGAGGCCTTGGTCAAGTCACAGGATCAGCCAAACCAGGATCAGCTTCCTTGTTTGGAAAAAAGGGATAGCATGTACTTATCTTGCGTGGTTCTTCATGAATTAGAAAAAGAAAATGCAGAAAAATGGCAGCACAGCATATGAAACGCAGGAAATAGAAAAATGGTGAAAATCTCTAGTAAGTGCTAACGTTCATTGAGGCTTACTACGTGCCTGTCACTGTGACACACATTCTAAATGTATGACTTCAAAATTCTCACGCCAATCCTATGAGGTAGGTACGATGCACACTTTCTCGGAGGTGAGAAAAACTAATGCACCGAGGGTGATAGCAGGCTAGAGACTAAGCCGGGATTCGAACCCAGGAGATACGTGCAGCGCACACTTCTATTCATTCACTACACGGTTTTTCCACTATTCTAGTTATCAGCAACCACTTAAAGCTTAGCGACTGAAACAGGCACTTTGCATTCAGTTTTCTATCAACTCCACCCCAACATCTTGTGAAGCAGGGTTAAGTCCCATTGCCGAGGCTCAGAGGAGTTCTGCGACTTGCCCAAAGTCACTAAGGGTGGCCCCGGCCTCAAAGAGCAAACACTCCCTTGCTCACCACCCTGGCCTTGGGAAGCACCCCCCTGCCCACTCGCGCGCCATCTCTGCGTTTCGATGTCCCAAGGCAGACCCCACTCTCCCCGTACCCCCCGAAAGCCTGTTCGTGCCTGGCCCAACCGCCAACGGTCAAGATTCCCCGCACACTCTCTGGTCTGACCGATCTAGGCCACCCTCTTTTCCATTACCCCAACGCCAGCTGAGAGCCAGGGTCGGGGGAGGGGTCGCCCCGCGGTCCCCAAGACTGACCCGGCAGCGTGGGGGAGGGGAACCCGTGAGGGCGCATGCCCAGAAAGCTCCATTTGGTCCCCGGTTCACCTGCGAGTCTCGGAACTCGACCACCACGTTCTCGCTGCTCCATCGCGCCGCCATCTCCCGCCAGGGTCAGCCCGGCCCAACGACTGAGCGTTCCTACCACCCAAACCCCCGTTCCCGGCCTCTGCGAGCCCCACGCAGCCCACTGGAGAGCCCTGCCACGCCACGCCCCACCTCCGCTTCGCTGTAAACCATTGGCTGACCCAAATACTGGCTCCGCCTCCTTCCCGATTCCTCCAATTGCAGCACTGCGCCTACCCAAACAGGCACGCCCCCTCCACCTTCGTCACTACGCTCAAGTCACCCAAACTCCTCACAACTGAGGACACACGCCCCCTGCTGCAAGATCTGCTGGGAGTTGTAGTCCAAGGTCAAGTTGTGCGTAGGTAACCCAGGTAGAGCTCACAGAATAAGACTGGGCGAGGTGAGGGGCATGTTGTCCTCTCTGTCTCCTCACTGGTATCTCAGGTAAGGCCCAGGATGTCTAAAAACTAAATTCCAACATTCCTACAAACCAAAGGTTACCTCTTCCCCTGACACCTGCCTCAAAGGCATTGAATGCACGTTTTACTGTATCATACAATACAGCAGCACCTGCCAAAGTGTTCAAGGACCCCGAGGGATCTCCATACCCGTGCACGGGGTTTCCGAAGGCAAAACAGTTTTGATAATCATACTAAGATGTTATTTGCCTTTTCACTTTCTCTCACCAGTGTTCCTTGGAGTTTTCCAGAGGCTACACGATTGTAGCAGATTAAACGGTAGAAGCAGATGTGAGAATCCAGAGGGTTTTTTAAAAAAAAAAAACTTTTATAGGAGTTTATTTGAGCCAAACTAATAACATATGCCATGGAGCAAGATTTCAAATGCTTCTCCAAAAGTGGTGGTGGTTATTATTATTATTATTATTATTATTACGCTTATTTATGCATTTGACTTTTGTATGTGCTCTTACCAGGGATCAAACCATCAACCTTGGTATAAGGGGATGACAACACTCTAATGAAGTGATCTACCCCACCAGCGCCCCACTGAAATGTTTTTGTTTGAGAAAATATGGTTCTTTTTCATTTACAAAATGTATTTTCAATGTTAATGTGCATTAATGTTTAAGTAAGATCATAAATAAATGTTTTAAATTCTCCGTTTTAATTTCTAATATCTAATTTACTATCTAAATAACCTACCTAAAAGTTCAGCTGGGATGGGGAGGAGATCTTCAACAATTCTTAAGAGTGTAGAAGGTCCTGAGATCAAAAAGTTTGAGAACTGCTCTGAGAGCACGATGAGTGATGATTAGTGTTCTCCCCTCTTACCCCACCCTCTCAAATCCTGGCTTAACTGCTTAGCTTCAGTTTTTTTTATAGAAAGAGGAAATGACCTACTTCATTTATTCGGTTGTTGTACCAAGTTAAGCGCAGGGCCTGGAATGTAAACAGTACTGAAGTGTGAACTATTATTGTGATTGTTAATATTATCACTATTTCTATGTGAAAATCATTGAGTGCATAGAGATAAAAAGGTTTCACTTCATGGTCCTGGCTGGTGTGGCTCAGTGGATCAAGTGCCAGCCTGGGAACTGAAAGGTTGCTGGTTTGATTCCCAGTCAGGGCACATGCCTGGGTTGCGAGCCAGGTCTCCAGTCAGGGGCGAGGAAGAGGCAACCAACTGATGTTTCCCTCACATGTCAAAGTTTCTTCCCCTCTCTTTCTCCCTCTTTCTACAAAATAAAATCTTAAAAAAAAAAAAAAAAAGATTCCCCTCCCTTCTGGAGTGTTGGGTATTAGGAGAGACACTTATCAACAGTTAGGGTGACCAACTCATCCCAGGAAACCCTCGGTCAAGACAAGCTGGAAAAATTGGTCACTGTACAACAGGTATACACTTGGCAGAATAAATTTGGTTTTATAAAAGACTTGCAAGCAATAAACCAGGAGAGGACAGACTAAATGGAGGACCTGAGGGGACCTGACGTAGCATAAAGGTGACATTTAAGTTTTTCAGCATATTAGGATTTTGGTAGAGTGCACTAGCACAAAAGCACTTCAGCATTAAAAGTGTGAACAAAGACCCTGAAGTGTGAAGAACAGGACCCACTTATGGGGAACATAAAGCAGTTCCCCAATTAATATTCATGGCATTGTGCTTCTTTCTTTCTTTCAAAATTCATCATAATTTGTAATTCAATATTTATTTATTTATTTGATATTTTTAAGCTGTGGGAAGTCAGGGACCAGGTCTGTCATGTTCAGCCCTGCAAGGTGACTGCATAGACAAGGCAGTCCATTAATATTTGTCCAAAGAAAGGATGTGGAAAACATAAAGTCATGTATAAAGCCATGTCCCCAGAGTGCTATATAAGTCAAAAGGATGCCTTCTGTGAAACCAGAACGTAATTTTTAAAGCTATTCACGGTCTTTACTTTTAATTCTTTATACCCAGAAGGGAATACAGAGTCACCAACCATTCCCATTAAAATTCCTTTGCTTTCTTTCCCATCCATCTATCAGTTATTCTCACAAATTGCAGCCTTTAAAAAAACTCTTCTGGCCCTGGCCTCCACCCTCCTGCATCAGCCTTTCTTCCATCCTCCCAGTTTCCTCCCAATTCCCCATCACAAAAGGTCAAAGGCTACTTTGGAGAGAAAGGCCTCAGCTCAGAGAACCAGGAAGGGGAAAAACTGCAAACCAGGTTCAATGGCAGGAAGAAGGAAAGATAAAGGACCCTTTCTAAGCATATTCATGCCATCACATAGAAATATATTGTCGATGTAAGAAACATCCAAACCTGGAAAGAATTTCTGTAAGATTTTATTTGAGCCAAACTGATGACAATTATCAGGAAACAAGATCTCAAATGCTTACAAGAATGACAGTTTAGTAGGGTTTTTTTGTAAATTTTATTTATTTATTGTGTATGTGTGTGTTTGCGCGCACATGCATTTGAAATAAAAGAGGGAAGTAAGAAAGAATACATAAAAGTGGGAGAAAAGGCAGGGAATAGATTATAGGATAGTTAACAAGATTATTTCTTGAGGGTGGTTACCCTAATTTCAAAGATGTGTTAAACTATATGCCCAAAAGCAATATTACAGGGCTTGCTTAAGGCAAAGATAAACCTTTTACTAGAAAGGTGGTATGTCTATGGCATGATCACCCATCATAACCTGCCCAGTTAGAAATCTATGATCAGATTACCCTGTGAGGTTACTTTCCATAGAATCCCTTTATTGCCCTCAGTATGAATTAGTTAATTCATCTAACACAGCATATTCTTATTTGTTTATTTGCCTATTGCTGGAGATGTCCTGGGTGCTCAATAAATAACCACTGAATGAGTGATTAGCAAACATGGTATATGGTAGGTGTAACAAGAAGTACAGCTAGAAAAATTGGAAAAGACTAATTAAGAAGTACCCTGCTTAGGCATTTGAATTTTATTTTGTAGATTTGGTGATTATATATATATATATATATATATATATATATATATATATATATAGTTATCTCCTTGTGCACTTATGGAATATATATATTCCACAAGTTTTTGTCTTTGGAATATATATATATATTTGGAAAAAATATACATATAATTGGAAAATATACATATTTTTAGTAATCTGTTTCCCACTAAAACTGGTACGATTGCCTTTGAGAATTTCTGCAGTTCCCCCCCACTCCCACCTCTTTAGTTCATATTTGTCTAGTTCTCAAAATCTGCTTGTCATAGTTCATAGGCACAGAAAGTACTTTGAGTTTCAAATCTTTGATGCCCTGTGTACTCACAGAGTTTTCTTTCTTAAAAGAGAAAAGAGCCTGGTAGAATTTTTGGGGAGAGTGAGCATGAGCACCTTTCAAACTGCTTCTTAGGGCCCTTCCTTTCCACCTCCCACCCACACTGTCTTCCTGAAAGACTGGGGACCCTGGAACAAAATCCAGAGCTCTCTGGCTGCTGCTTCACTGCTGTGTACCTCTGAGGTCCACATATAAATATCCTCTCTGAATCAGAGACTGAGAACCGTTGGGAGTCCCTTGTCTAGGAGACTTCAACTTGCTGACCAGGCCACAGGGCCCTTATCACCAAACTGTGTCTTTTCCGAAGGCCACTTGCTAGGAAGACAGGATATGTGGCCAACTACAAATCCAGGGCTTTGGCAGTCTCTTATCAGCAACTAGCCTTGCAAATGTGAACAGGGCTCTTATCTTTCTAGTCCTCTGTTTCCTCTTCTGCAGAATGCGGTTAGCTGACCCTTTCATCTATTTACATCTGGGCATATTGGAATCCTGCCTTGAGCCCCAGTAGTAATTTCCCTCTCTTCACCAGTCAGCAAAGATTTGTGTAGACCCGCCCACATGTTCAGGCTCCTTGCTAGGTGCATTTATTGGCCCATTATCCTGGTTCCTCTGTTTAAGTTTTCTCTTTTCAAGCAAAACAATAACAATGTAAAGAGCTCTGAGAGGCTGGCCAGGAAGTTTCTTACTGGGAGATATTTACCTACCCCCAGAGAAAGTTCTGGGTGCTCCCTCTGAAGCCACAGGTAGCCCTCCCCACCCTCTGCCTTATGGAGACAGAAAGGAGGCCAGGTGGTTCCCAGCGCTTCCCAGGAACAGCCCTAACAAGCAATTTCCCTCGTTATCGGAACCCTTTATGTTCCAGACTTACATTCTTCCAGATACGTTTAAAACTGGGCTTTGCAGCATTATTATGCACTCTTCTTTGCAGGCTTTGGCAACATTTTTATCAGGTCTTTCTCCTGACTTCTCTGGTAGGTACAGTCAGAGCTTTATTAACCCTGTTTCACAGCTGAAGGAGAGCCAAGAAGCAGCTCACCCAGGTCAGTGAGAGGATGGCAATATGAAGGTAAAAAAGAAAAAAAGTCCCAAATCTAGCTGGGGCCATTTCTAGATCTGATATCCTTGCATTGTGAGGTCCAAAAATGACTTGACACCTCCCCAGACCAATTAACCTTAAACAGAGAATCCGCAGGAGAAATTTGGAGCAAAACATATATTGGGCTCTTGATGTAACAAATGACAAATTGAAACTAATCTGAGGCTGCGGGTCTCAGTGGATGCTTGTTGCTACACCTTGAGTCACTCTAAGAGAAGAAGCGTAGAATC